TATATATCGTTATATACATATGTATACAATACTTGTATATAATATATATCGTTATATACATATGTATACAATACTTGTATATAATATATATCGTTATATACATATGTATACAATACTTGTATATAATATATATCGTTATATACATATGTATACAATACTTGTATATAATATATATCGTTATATACATATGTATACAATACTTGTATATAATATATATCGTTATATACATATGTATACAATACTTGTATATAATATATATCGTTATATACATATGTATACAATACTTGTATATAATATATATCGTTATATACATATGTATACAATACCTGTATAGAGATATGCTTTGCTTAGAAGACTGATTCCGAATCAGTCACCACTAATGAATTAGTTATATTAGTTATTAAGTCAATAATATTGAAGCCATTACTTATTATCAATAAAGGGGTTACAAACGAGCACTGGTATGCTCATAACATAAACAGTCCACAGATGTGCTCAACATCAACGATTCCTTAGTACACCAAGCATGTTATAGTAAGTTGTTAAATTCAAATTTATTCTATTTATGCCATTAACTTTAATTGATTTCAACACAAACTGACATCAATTCATTCCTCCTTGAAGCAATTTTAAATCCATTCAAAACCTTTTTAAGTGTCTGCCAATGGAAAATGGCAGGTAAAACTATTGTTGGGGAAATCATTCCATTAATTTGTCTACCGGTACTGGCTGTCATTCAGACCCATTAAGAATTGAGAATCCCTTTTCGAATGGACACTAGAGCTTGTCAGCATACCATGGTGTTTATATTGGTGTTGGCAGACATTAAAGGTTTTACCTTTTACGAATCTGTTTAAAAGGACTGTTCTGTTGAAATATCGCCATAAGCCGGTGGTTATGACATACGGCTCTACCTGAGATCAATGGTTAGAGAAAGTAGGCCAAATATAGATCACAGTAACAAAACAACGTTAGTTTAATACCGTGTTATGTGATAATGGACAGTTAAGTAAACGTTTCACACTTCTCTCGTCACTGTTATGCATAAAACGTATAACTATGAAGAGGTATAGTCGGTTTGTAATAAATTATTATAGAAAGTTGACGAAATAAGGAACGATAATACTTCAGTTAGAATGACTTGTTCACGGTAGTTTTTGTTAGTTCGCGCCCGTTTGTTCCTAATACTCTATTTGTGTCTGTTACCGACACTAATCTATCTATCACACAATATAAACTAGATAGATCCTTCATGTGTATTTAAAGTTGCAAACGAAAGTGTATAACCGATATCCAAAGCTTATATGATAATATCTACGTTCATGATTGCTATTGATTTATACTAAATGTCGCGTGAACTTGACTTTCAACAATAATTCAGACAATGACCATATATGGATTTTAATTCTATGTTATTGATTTCAGCGCCTGGACCATCAACAGGTATACCCAGAGTGATATTACGCTTGGTTATTTTTACTTTACTTAGAGTTGTTGGTGCTAGTTATCTGTTTGTTCGTCATCTCATTTATATGAAACAGATGCAATTAGCGGGAGTAACCAGAGTAATAGTGCTCATGGTTATTTTATTTTGGTGCTAGTTTCCTGTTGGTTTGTCATATATATCATATAAAATAAAATTCACTGGTGAAACTAGCTCACATTTACATATATCGGTTAATTTTATTTGCAATTTTTATTTAACCCTCATTTAGGTGGTTGTGTTTATAACGATGTAATCTCCGGTGCTTGTGATAGCATTATATGGCCATGGCTAGTCTTTCTATTAGTATTGTACGGAGGTTGGTATGCGAAATCATTTTTTATGTCTTCATTTCGGGATGGACTGTTCTAAGCACAATCTTCACAAACTCGAAATCCTGATATAAATTAATAATTTCGAATGGCGCTAACCAAATTCCGTAGTAAATTACGTATTAATCAAGCACTTCAGTAGTTAGTTTATATTTTTGTTTTTCTTCTTTTTTTTGTTTTCATTTTTTAAAATTATCCTGCGTGAGGTGATGTTATCCATTATGAGAAATACAAGTAACATCCTGAACGTTTGTCAGGCCGACATCTTTTACAGGAAATGTTGGCGTTTTGTTCATAACATCGAAATTAAACACGTGTTCTTTTGATTTTGTTTGAACAATCTAGTTTATTTAGTATGCACTTTAACGTTTTAAACCTATTGTACTGTTAATGGAATGTGTATTGACATTTAAAAAGGTTTTCGGTTATTTGTTAGGTGGCCATACAAAATCATAATGCATTAACTGAAATGAATACCAGGTAAGAATACATTTAAAAGAAAATCAATATCAGAAAATACCGGATTTTAAGCACGACCGTTTCGCATTACCGAACATAAACCTCACTCCACATTATATAGTTAAGTTACGTGATTGTTGTTGTTGTTCGAAACTTGACAGTATTATAAAAATTACCTACAGAGACCAGATAATAGATATAGCCTAGCAGAGTACTTTTGTAAACCGGTTAACAATATCATAAGTACTGGCGGCATTGTGATTAATACTGGTTCAATTTATAGAGCCTTTTCAAATTACAATCATTATATTGAATAAATATATTTCCCCTATGGTGAAATAAGATACAAAATAATACAATTTAAATGCGAAGATCGACGAAGTATATATGAAGCTACAACAGCAGAAAATAAGGAGACAGCAAAACAATTTGTTATAAACTCTTCAAATATGTGCGACTCCGTATATGATGTATCTTACAAATTAAGTAGGTCACCAGTGATACGCCGTGAACATCCTTTATCTTTATAAAACAGAAATTGTATTATCAGAAATAAGGGCGATTGTGAGTTTATTTAAGTCTAATATACCATTGTAATAAAGTATTTAAAATGGAAGAAGGATTAAAGATAACTAGATAGGTTCGTTTGTTTCTACCATACTTTGTATTGGCGTTATGCGGTATTTACCGTAGATCTAGCGTCGTTATGTAAACGGTAAACTAAATAGCTTTTGTCCTGATGACATCGATCAGGCGAAGAAACTCCATTTGATCTAGCCTTAAAGCAACACGATTTATTTGAACACCATGTTCTTTTTATCCTGATACATTTAAATTGTAAACAGAGGAAAGGTTCAGCAGGGCCGAACTAATACAGATCTATTATAGAATGTTCTGACATTGTCATATTGGTGGACGAATTGGTTTTCTTCATTGTAGAAAATAGCCAAAATGGATGGAGGAGCGATCAAGAAACAACGCTTCAAACGAGGAATGAGGGTAAGTTAAAAGTAGCATTGTTGTCGAAAACAGGAGCAAGGACCGATCATGCTTATTACTTTCTAACCATGCACTTTATATTTAATTAGTAATCCAAAATAGTGACAGCACAAACGCACATATATACTATTCTGATACTAAGATCGTAGTATACAGTACACATCTAGGAAAAGATGTATATCTTGATATTACATGCACTTATAAATACATGATTTCGTTTTCTTTTCTAGGCAATTGAGAAATTCAAACATGCTGTAGAATTGGTGCTGATACTGGCGCGGGCCTGTATTTCTAGGCGGAAGTAAGTAAATAAACGGACGGCAATGGAGACCGAAAGTAATGTGAGGTGAAATATACATTACTGAACCATACGTTTAATATAATGTATCTCAGTCCTTGTTTAATAACATCGTCACTTAAAAGTGAAACTTTTCGTGAAGTCCAATCAGACCAGTTTTTGTTTTATAAGTTTTAATACGTAGACATACAAGGTATTTGCTCAGGTCCATTTCTTACTTTAGATATTATTTCTTTATTGGTGAAATATGTAATACTATGTACCGTATCATACACACGTCTGACTTGTATGCAGTGTGAGGAAATTGAATTTGATCGTGTTGGCAATATAGCCGAATGATTAGCACCTTCTCCTCTGTATGACAAGTATATGGGAAATCAACGTAATCAATTACCCCCCAGGGATTCGAGAGCAATCCGGCACAAAAGGAGCATATGCATCTATTGATTCTCTGCAAATGTAACATCTCTGGTATTGTGTTAATACTAGAAGGAATGCAAGATGTCTATTGGATACTGGTAATACATAAAGACCCACCCAGTCAAACGATGTGTGGAATGTGAAAGCTTAGGATAACGCATGTACACCTGGTATGATATTTATGACAAGTGATCAAGGCTCGATGTGCTGTTGTAAAATACGCACCTAAGGCTATGTTAGACTGCTACAAGGGGATGTAACATAGTGTCGGAGTGACCTTACCATTAACGATATACCCTGAGATGAACTAATTCCATCTTCTCGTCGTCGAGTTCCCTATAGAAACAACTCGGTGTTCTTGGCCTGCTTATAAAGAATGCAATGTCCTTTGATCTTTGTATTTAATCAGAATATATATTCGTGGGGGATCGCCTCTCAACGTCATTATCTAATTAGTCTGTCGGTCAAATAATGCTCAATTTGATGCTGTACACCGTCATGTCACCATGTTATGTAATGTGTTGAAGAGGACTATCGATGACGGCAATGATATCAACACTCCCAGCGTTAGCTGTCAGTGATAATTTTCTATATTTGGAAACGAAAGACCTTTTCATGCAGCTTAACAGGAGATGAATGTTGCAATGGTCCTAATTGTTCTTCTTTGTCTTCTGCATGGAAGCCTATTACATCATGACAGGTTGTCAATGTAAAGAGGAATGCTATTTCCTGTAAGCTTTGTTGTCGGAGATAAAAGTAGCAACATGCATTCGTTATTTCCTATTTGACAATATTTTATTTGATATGTGATAGGCGGGACTTCAGTGTATAACGAAATGATATCTCACAAATCTTAATGTATCATTATAAGTTGATATATAACGATGTATTGAAGTAAAATAATCAGATCCATATGTTGATAGATGATGAAATATATCAGCTTACCAATAATCGCATATTACTGAAATAGTAGCTATATTGAAGGGACTTAGTGCATTGAATAAATGACAATTTATATTTTTATTTGTCTGAAACAATTTCATCGTTTTAGAAATCTCAATTTAGATGCAGAACTGATGAAAAAAGATATCTTTCAGATACTACAAGGAAGTGAAGCCTGAAACAGCCCTTGCCGTCAAACGCCTGCGACAGAAGGGACAAAGGGAGGATAAGGATACTTCTCGATCTAGTGTGAGTTACACCCGGACTTCGCTCATTTACATTCCGCATATTACCGTTATTCACGTTTCAGCGTGTAATTTATTTAGCGATCTATGCATGTACATAATTAAGCAAACATTAAGTGATTTGGCTGTATTATTCTGTGTCATTATTGTTGATGTGCCTATCAATCTTATAAATTAACCATTAATTGAACCATTTAGGAATTCGATTGCCATTAGGTTAACTGAACAGCATAAATTAACGGTATAAGGGATTTCTACTTTTCTTTAGTTGTTCATGTTTCGTCCTTGTTCCTCATCATGAAATTTTTAATAAATGGAATTAATTCCCGTGAAATATACTAAAAGTCTGTTTAATGTCGATTATGTTGAATAACACGACTATAAACTACCAATCCAAACTCAATGTATGACTGTACTAGATGTTCGTACGTCTAAACTCCATACTGTACTAGATGTTCGTACGTCTAAACTCCATACATGTTCATTGTAGGATTCAGTAAACGTAACAAGTTTCTAAGCCAGCTGGCCAGCTATGACATGTTTAACGATGAATATTTGGTTACTCAATTATATCTTTTGTATTAAAGTTCACACAGTCCATAAACTACATATTCTATTTTATGACTGTGCTTTTATTATTTCCCAGCTTGCCTTTGATATGCAATTAGCATTTTCAACAGAACCCAACTACCGGAGTAAAAGTGATATTAAAAAGGTAGGAAACTATGTCTGGGTTCACTTGTTGTTATAAATGATATGTTTATATACATGTAAGTTAATACTTAAACAATATTGTTTCTATTTCATGTTTTTTATAATTACGTAATGATGACATCTGTCTTGTTAAGTTTTTTCCAAAATATGTTTGTCGTTTTAAACAAATCATTTCTGGACTTGATTTATACGCAAATGTCATCTTTATTTTAGATTATTTGGGTTCTAAGAGCAACTAAGGCATTTAAACAGCTGTTCCCCGTGGAGGTGGAAGCAGACGTAGCAAGATGTGTAGCATATGAGAGGTAAATGTCCTGATCAAACACAATACCTCTTATCATAACATCATGGGTCTATAAACGTGTTATAGTTTATCAAGCATGTGTATTTAGGTATTGAAAGATTGTTGATTTATGAACATTTTAAAATCTTAAACATCTGCCATGATAACAACAAATACCATACAACCAAATACCTATTACAACTTCTACGAAAAAAGTTTCATTACCTGCGTAAATGTTTGAAAGTCAATTGGAATTATGTTGGGACTACTCATAATTACTTTTGTACAGGGCAGGGCTAGTTACGTTTTTATTACCAACACCATATAACAACAACTGCCATAATAAAACACATTGATACATTTAGTATGCGCCAGGTTTTATGAAAATCTTATCAAAAATTAAGGTAACCCTTAGCATCAATTTAATAACCTATATTGGATGGTATAATTTAGCGATGATCTTTTCATACTATCTTTTACAGGTATGATTCCAACAGGATCCTTGCGCTACAGGAACGAGATCCTGAGAGGTTCTATTATATCATGTCGGGAAAAGGTTTGTTTTTAATTAATGACATTGATAACATTTACAGTGGAACCTCGTTAAACCGAAAATAGGTCAGGATATATCAAAACTTCACGATAAACGAAACATTTATCCATTGGGAGTATTATATTCGGAATAAGATTCTTCAGTTTGGCATAAATTATGAATGCTAGTTTGTTTTGAACACAAACAATTATTGAAAACTTGTTTTGCGAGCTTTCGAAAAGTCTGTTTCCTCAGTCAAGCAAATGATGCAAATCACTGTCTGTAGTATTAGAGTGCTATTTTAACGAAACATCTCATTCCCTAATAGTTGACGTTACTAACTCGGAACATTGTGATACATTGAGTTGTTTAAATAGCTAAGAGTCGAGACAACGGTCTTTTGCACTCTTTGCCTGACAAAGGAAACTGATGTTTTCGAAAGCTCGTAAAATAAGTTTACAGTTTCCGCTCTAAATTTGATGTCTACCTATATACGTTGTGATCAGTAAGGATTTAAGATTGGGCTCAAGTATATTCATTATTAAAGGTCGCAAGAAAACGAAAACATATAAGTGACCGAGATCGCGTGTGGTCCCTAATAGCCCGGCCTTGAACATCGTATGTTAAACGTCTTAATAATGCAAATGCATTTATAGTGCTACCTTTTTTAGCAGACCTAACATTTAATTTCTGCGTATCTGTTTCACATTTACTTAATAATGAATTGATGTGTCAATTTAAATTTTCCTTGTTTTTGATAAACTGCATACTGAGTTCTTTTACATTGTAAATTGATTGTCTGTACATGTACAAATTCAGGGATCAGGGAGGTCAAATCAATACTGCCTCTGTGTGTTGTCTCATAGTTAACATCCTCATTGTAGTCTGTACGTTTGCTCATGTATCGTTTTTTATCTGCTAGGCCTGTTACACTATATACCTGATCCCATTGTTTCTTACGACTATGATGCGTGACGTTGTTAAACACAAAAAAACTTCATACATTCCTGTTTTGTGATAATTGATTATTCCTTGTATCTTTTCCTCGCGATATGGATTATTTTTGTTTGATATAATTTCAAGGTTGTTGTAAATATCGTGGAACAATTTAATGTTAATTAACAAGCACGTGACTTGAATTGGTGTTGAATTGTTTATGATGTTTACAATGCAGACAAACTCTCTTGGTAGATGATATAAAGATATCGATACACCTGTATATATTTATTGTTGACTATCATGTTATCGTGTTACTTGTATATATTTATTATTGACTATCATGTTATCGTGTTACTTGTATATATTTATTATTGACTGTCATGTTATTGTGTTACTTGTATATATGTATTATTGACTATCATGTTATCGTGTTACTGTTATTATTATTGTTGATGTTTTCTTGTTACTGATAAACAGTGTACTTTAAATGGTGTATTTTATAATTCCAGTGCAAAAGGTGCAGGAGTACCGTTTAAGTTCCGGTCTCGTGACCAGGTCAGAGGGTTATATTGAGAAGGGCACGACAACTGATGTGAGTATGCTATATAGAATACATGTACATTGTATATTTTAATAATTAACGCATAACGGAGGTTCAGTGTTAGTTCGAAGTACTGAAAAAACGCTGAATGGTTTCTAGTATATCATGACAAACGGCAATTTCTGACGTTAAAAGTAGAGCTTACTGTGATCTTAATGTAACTTATCTAAATGGTGGTGTCTTGCACTGAATTGTAACATTGTTTCTGTAATCATGGCAAAGTCGTAACCATGCAATGGGCTAGAAAAAGATAAACCTGAATCCGATTGTTTGTGTCAGTAAATGTCACATTTTTACGTTAAGATTCAACTGGGCAGTTAAAAAATATAAGGATTATACTACACTTACAGCACCAGGATATCTCATGTTTAAAAAAATCAGAACTCAGATTTGTCATTATGATACTTTGACTTCCATTTATGTTATAACGACGCGAACTTTTTCTGTAATGGAGCGTTAAGATTGATGAAATTTGATACTACTTCATTTTATTTAATAACCTATCACTATATTTAGTTACAGAGCTAAAAGGTTTCGAAACAATTCGTTTACAAAAACTCGAAAGTCTACTTTTAACTCGTCTAATAGGTAATACGAGGAATGGTTTCTCTTTTATTAAATTTGGGGAGATCTACCGGCCTCATGCATGTTTGTTGTTGCTATGAAAAATTATTTAAATAATAAAGTGACATGGAAACATTCAAGTTGTTTGTGAAAGAGAAACCAATCCTAGTGTGTCATTTTTGAACGTTCAATTTTGTTACAAATACGCTCAACATTTCATAAACATTACAGATAAAAAGTACTATAACGAAATTGCTGCTATTTTTCACTAAACTGCAAACTTTAGATTACAACTCTCCAACCAAATTTACAAATATGTGATATGCAATTGCGATGACTCAGCAAATAACCAGATTGTTGAACCTAAATGATCACGAGCTTTTTAGATTTAACTTAATGAAAGATGACTCTTTCATTATCGATGTCATTGGTGACAAAAGAAGAAACGGGATATTGTCTGCGACAAAATGTGTCCTGGTATAAATAGGGCTGAATCCTCCAGCGAACTGTACAGAACGAACTTGTTAAAGATGTTTACTTTTGTTTACACCTATCTTACGCTTTAATTTATAAAATGTTAAGAAAAATACATTTTGCATTTAACAATTATCTCGTCGAAAATGTGCTGACACCTGAATCTGACTTACAGGCACAGGAACTGGAGATGGCCTGGCAGAGGGAACATCACCTGGTATCACGGGGTCAGGTTGAGGTCCTAATCATACACAGAGATGTACGTTGTAAATCGTTCTAAATGCTCGATCATACAGTATATTAGTACCTGTTTGCAATTATCCATAACTATCATTGCATTGTGTTTTCTGACATGTCACCAATTTACTGTAAAATATGAATACTGTCTCACTGTGGACATTTTTCGCTTATTCCCAGACTTAGTCTAAGAATGTTGTATAGCCATTTGAATGTTTTTAATTGTCATATATGGGATGGTATTTTGTAGGTCTTTTTAATGAAAGTAAACGAAAGCTTTACATTCAAATAAGCGTCCTTTGATTAAATACATGTTAAGCTCTTGTATATTTTAATTTGATTTCCTATCTCCATTCAGGACTTTTTACGGCTACGAAACAGAACTTTAGGACCACCGATAGACTTTCTAAGGTAAGGGTGCTTACGTATATATCATTACCGGCGTACACCCACAGCACGCGTTGTATTATAGAACCAGTCATCAAAAATTAGGTTTATGTACATATAACCCTATTTGTATAGTACCGGTACAAACATTTAAATATAAAGTGTAAACACAAAATCCCGAAATAGTGTTTCGGGCTACAATACATATTCGCCTCACATGTGTGTGTTTAAACAATGGCGATTTATTGATGGACCAGCATTAGAGGCTCTCCAGTCTCGAAACGTAACCACTTGAGATTTTATTTAACAGATACACTTGAATGTCTTATGTAAATATAAGTCTTGAGAGTGTTTTGTTATAGACTTGTATTTAATTGTATTCCTATCACTTACCACTCCATGAATACTTCTGCGGTCTGGTGCAGTGTTGACCCAGAACCACACCTGTTAGTCTTTGTTGATGTACATAAACTTACATTCTTCCTTATATTAAGGATTGCTGTGTAAACACACTTCATATGTCGTTAGTATTTTATGTACCGTACAAAGACATGTGCCTTTCCCTCGAATATATGTTGTTTATGCAATCGTACTGTCAACTTTTGTTTTTCGTATCGAGTTTAACCTCTTACTAGAACCAATAAGATGTTTTTAAATAACATATTAACTATTTTTTTCAGAAAATTAGATTTATTTCTGGAATTTCCTTGTGATGTATTTAAGACAAATCCAGATTCAATACATCTCAAGTATTATGGGTAAGTGTTGAAATACATTTGTAAACGTATAGTAAATATTTTAAGGTAATTATCCTGCTTAGATATAAAATTCTAACTATATTCCAAAGCATATTCAACAAGCTTCTGTGAAATTCAATAGTAATCAGATTTCACAAGTTGGATATCGGGTTTATCCTGTAACCCAATTAACCCAGAAAGCTCAGACATCGCATCAAAACAGAGACCATTGTGTGTTAAACCTGAAACAAAAAAATGTAATGAATATCATCAAACGACACATAATAAATATTGTGTATTACAAAATAGATCATACGCAATCTATATAATAATTGCCTTTAGAATCTGACGATGCCAAATAATACAGGAATCCGTTTTTTCAGCCAAGACGTGACAATAGTCGAGGACACCAACAGAACGCCATGGATTCACATAGTGAAATCGGTAAGTATTAATCGTCATGTTGCGGTTACCAATATCATTTATAAACTTTGAAAAGTATCCCAAACATCTTTAAGTTTGTATATGGTCTCCTGATTTTGAACAGGAACGTTTACTTGACGGATTTGTTTAAGTATAATCCGTGGAGAAATTTTAAAACTTATCAAAGCAAAGTGTTGCTTTGTATTCAAACGTCCATTGCCCATTAGTAGGTAACCTTAGAATTAGGGGAAATCTTGTATTGTTGTTCCCACTTTCATAATTAGAGCTGTACATCTAGAGCGCAGAAATGATATGTAGGGAGGGTCAAAGTTTGATAGCAGCCTGTATAACCCTAAAGCATACCTTATCGCAAAGTGTTGAAAAAGTTAATTTCAATATTTGATAAATAATGTTTTATTTCTGTCTATAGGGACGAGTACGAGTAGTTAGAATACAAAGCGTCATTGACGTGGAGACGGACAGGAAGTTCATGTCACAAAGTACGGAGGAGCTGGGTTGTGGCCGGTCTTTCAGTCATGCACAAGGTTGGTAAATATATAACGTGTTACATTAAATTAACTTTATCACAATGCCACTCTTATTATTATTGGATGATTAAATTGATAATATGACATTCAAATAAGTATCAGATATGTTGGTATTATTTGACGGTATATGTAAACGTTATGTCATTGATCTGTTAAACAATTATATGTTCTAAATATCTATGGTAACACATCAATGTGTATGACGAAAAACTGATATACACACAAAGAACATCTTTCATCTTACAGATTGTGCTCGTAAATTATCGTCTCAACCTGTACCCGTTCTGTTTAAACGTCAGATAAGGATAAATGTTAAACTTATATAAACTTACCGAGTGAATTAACACCGTTACCAAATGCTATGTTCGTGGTATGCTGACGCATTAAATAATCGCTTTTATCTATGTTTAAAATAACAGTTATAAGATCAAGAGTGATTTTGGAACAATGTGGACCTAAATGGCATTAAAACATTCTTTTTAATTAGGCGCTAGTTTTCTCTAAAATTCCTCTCGAATTCTTACAGCAATGATAGGAAGTCTGATGTCACAGAGGAAAATGAAGGCTCTCAGTGGCAGCAACATATCACTACCAGAGGTATGCTCTTTTGACGAATATAAATATGCATTGTCTTTTTCATGGTATACCTCATTGATAGGCAAACCAAGTTGATTTGTTTGCGCCGAGTCATTGTAAGATATAATCAATAGAATATTGTAATGGAATATAGATAACTAAATGTGTAATAAATAATGTATTTGAAATTCTATTGTCATCAATGATTGTCTGTGATTATCGCTGATTTCTTTCGCGATTATTCTATTTTATTGATATTTTTATCGCCTGCAAAAACACGCGAATTGTCGACACAGTGACTTTGTTGCTGTTGTTGAATAAGGGTTAGTTTGTACCTTTGGATAGAAAAATTGCTGCACGAAAATCAAACTCTCTAAATTTGTTCCTGAAACAAACCACGTAAGTTCGACACCACGAAATATGAGAAAAATACCGAATAAGAAAACCTTATTTGTTGTATAAAGAGTTGTCGATTTAGTTAACTAATGTTGAGTGACACTTCATTTCTTAGATCCACACAACCGAAGTATCCAACCCGTTTGTTTCAAGTATGGGTATAGGTAGCAGTTGTAGTAATTCGTTCAGCAGAAAGAACAGCAATTTTGCTGAAGGCATTGGTATACTGTCCAACGTAAGAGGCCACAAGGTGTGAATTATCTGCACAGTTTTGCGTCACTTTTTACGGGGATAATTAATATACGCCAAGCTTGCAATGCTAACACGTGATTTTAACCATGGTTTAATTCCGGTTGCGGTTTGTTTGATTTAAACCCAAAAATTGTTTTAAGTTGCCGGTTTTGTTTTTCTACTTTTTTTAGCTACACCATAGAAATTGTTTCAAACTTTGTCTGAGTTTTAATTACAGCGACATGTTGTCACACTAACATAATATTAACCTTACACCATAGCCTTGTGTGCTTATGTTTGTGTATTTGTTTTTCATGTGTCACTAGGAGATATACATATTTGTATAATTTATAGGAGATGGATGCAAATGAACTGTAAAACAATGTCATAATGAAACTTATTAAGAATTCATTGATGTGCTAATGATTAAGTGAAAGTTAAGTTTAGAAAAACATACATAACTTCTATTGAAGGCTACTGAAATCTTAAAAATTGAATACAATATTGTACATAATCGGAAGATTTGTTGATGAATAATAAAATACTAAAACCGATATTATTGCAAGTTATAACCGAATTATAAATGAGATTCATAAGAATGTGTACAGGGTGAAGTCTAATTGAAATATATATTTTAGATAACAAAACGTCGCAAGCCCAGTGTTACGACACCCCCTCTACACTCACCTATGGAACAGGACGAGACGAAAACCGGGAACTTGGCGGTTGAAGCCACAGAAAGACAACGGTCAAACAAGCGGAAAGCAAAATACGTCAAACCCCCAATCGTAGGCAAGTTACTGTAACAGTAATTTCTGTTGAACAGTTTAGAAAAGTTTTTTGTCCATTCTCACGAATTTTTCACTGTTAGAACGGACTTTCTTTCCTTATATTTTGTTATGAGAAAGTACTGATTTGTTGCATAAGAACTCTTTCGTTGGTTAACATAATGTTATTGTTGAGTCAGACCTATATTTGTATAATGTAAAATTACTTACATGAATATAACGACTGTCTCTTAACATTCGCAGTTGAACAAGGGGTAGATAACCCTTCAAGCGGTAGGGGATCACGTGCAGACATCACACCTGATACCGAGCTTCCAGACATACTGATTACCAACGGACAGGTAAGCTGTGTAGATCTTAGGATTTAGTTATAGGATAAAGTTGAAGGATGACATTTTTTCTTTTTGTCATGTTTCTTGTGTTATTGTGTTGACTTAAATGAATTAGAATTGTAGAATTGGTTAACTTCTAATAAATGCATTATACATTTGGTATACTAGCTTACAGAGTTCCTACTTTAACACACGTAGACATACATTACATTAAATACATGTATACTAAACCTGATCGTTATATCTTATTTTTGTCTTTATGTTATAATGTGTTAGCTTGTTATTAAAAACGTATTAACTTTACATATTTGATAAATACAAAATATAATTGAAACATTTATTGATATAAGATAATGTTTTCAGCAGGATACACCTGCAAAGAAGAATGATAAGAGAACGTCGTTTCCTCCTATAATGAATTCCACGGAACGTCCCCACACTAATGGCGAGCTTCATCCCCACGGTACCTATCTGACAAGGGAGATGACTGAGTTCGACCCCGTATATGCAAGAAAGGCCACGAAGGAGATTAAACTCCGTCCGGCTTACCTTCAGCTAGATGTATTAAACCCTGGTGATATTTTCGTACGTATCTCTGACATGTAGAATTTTGCTTTAGAACCATTTCGATATATAATAAGGTATATTTTAAAACTAACTAGAGTGATTTGTTTGGTTTTGCCTTGTTGTTCCATCACCTTTCGTGTTTCGTGTACTTTGCGTGTCTTAATATTTTTTACATCCTTTGTACTTATAACCAAATATTTTTAGTATATTTACATACACTGTGTAAACACGGTCACAAACATGTACTGTGTACACAAAATATACAAAATCACTTATTTCACTGTATAATTATGATAGTTACAGTAAGAATGTATATACATATACTTATATATGTGCTTTAATACAGAACTTAGCTTTTGCTTTTGGAGAATTCAGATATTGCTTTTGCTTATAAATTATGCATCTTATACTGTGAATTATCCGGGTCAATGCTAGCAATATCCATCCGCTTTGCTATATAAGTTATATACGGAAATGCTTTATATGGATTTGTGTGCTTCCGCCATAAAAAAAGGGGGGGCATAAATTGTTGCCCATCTCCGTCCCGTCCCGTCGCGTCCCGTCCCGATTCAATGTAAACACCCGTCCCGTCGCGTCACGTCCCGATTCAATCTAAACACTTAGCAACTTCATTCCTTCACGGACTTTGGTCAAACTTGATACAAAGGTCAAATATGGGTATACCTCTGACATCCTTGTGTTTCAGGGTTCTAAGGTCAAGGCCAATGTCACTGTTGCTATATATAGAAAATCATCAACTGATTCAATTTAAACACGTAGCAACTTCATTCAATATGTTATGGAGATGGTAATAACATACAGAAAAATACATATGAATATTAAAATCAACTTATCAACTTTAAGTGAAGTACCTCGTGTGTGTGCATGTTCAGGGTATCAAGATCAAAATGGTTTTATTTTTTATAGAACACTGAAACTAATTTCACATGGCAGCGGGGGCATTTTCGAGTTTTTTTAAATTGTTAAAATTCTTGGTGAATTGCTATAAAGTTTCAATTATAATGAAAATTCTTAATTGGCAATTCGTTATTGATGGGTAAAATATTGGGAAGAAGGACTAATTTATTTGTGTATGATGTGTTACAATGCTACGCTGTGTTTCTAATTGAATATATTTTTCCTATGATTTAACACATGACTAATATATACGGTTATCAGCAAAGTTTCATCAGGTGGAGTATTCAATGTTTGATTAATATTTGTTTGTGACTAACTCTTTTGTCTTCGTTATTGCACGAAACTTTAGGGTTTGGATGCTATTTCTAAGAAATTCCACAGTCAGCTTAGAAGGCCAGGTGAACAGGTGAGAAGCCCCTATGTTTTCTGCATGCTGACTTCCTTTCAGTAGAATAGTAGTAGCTAACACAGGAATCATTTTAGCTCACGCTCTACGTAATATTGTATAACGATGGTAAGTACAGTAGAAAAAGTATTCGGCTTGAACAGTCTTTCATTTCAGGATTAATGCATGTTTAAAAAGGTACTATTCTGAGTAGATTTTCTATGAGTTATAGAGCATACTTATTTCGCTTTTTATTGACGTCTACTATTTGCATGTCACTGATAACGGAGATATTCTTGTGTCAAATAACAATCTAATTAAATGTTCTCTAAGCAGTGTCTGTTTATTTAGAAACCAGTTGGTTGTGTTCACAGTTAATCGATTAACACATAACACTGCACGAATATCATCGTAATAACGTTTGATTTTGGCACATGCCAATTATGCAAGTACATATATATTTCCCTTAAAAAAGGTTTTTGTTTGTGTATGTTTATTAATAAACAGAGGATTTCATAGCATCAATTCAACGGCTATTTTCGAATAACTTTGACAAACATCAGTATGTCAGAACAAAATATTTGTTATGTTTTCACATTAGCTTTTGCGAACAATTTAACGAATCAATCAGCAGTCGACGACAGCGCTATGATCCATTGTTATGTCGTGTTGTTATGACGTCAACGACTATCGTTGTGAAACGTTGTTATGTGGTTCAACGTTTGTAGTTCCGTTGGGTGTGGCTTAAAACAAAAACATTCTCGTATTACAAATGTATAAGGAAACGTCCACTGATGGAAGACATTGGTATTTCGATAGTATTCATTGTGTTCACAAAGAAGATTAACTAAATAGATGTTATTACAAAAAAGCAAATATGGAATACCAATAGAATCTTTTTTGAACTCCATGTCCTTAAAGGTAATATGTATATTAATTAAGTTTATTCGTAATTGCCTCAAACATGACAAAACATTAGGACTAGTTGGTGAGTAACGTCATATCAGAAACATTTGCTAACAATATATATTCCATACATTTAGCTTCAGTGTTATTCAGCAGGTAGCATATACAATCAAATTCGGATTTGTTTTTGTCCTCTCAGTATACGTTGTTATTATTGAGTGTTGTACATTGACCGTATTTTCATGACAGGGCCTGGAACACCTGCAGCCACCAACTGCTTCAGAGTCCAAGGGGGTCATACTGGTAAGTCAATCAATACTAGGAAAACCAATGTGTTATCTTATAAGTATTTGTTTGCAAATGGCGTAGGATATCATAGGAGATAATCTGGTCAATATAGTTGAGTCAGTGTTTTTAAATGACTGACACTTATGTTACCATGCCTACGTCAACGACATTTGAAATGCCTCTTCTCCTATCAATGGTATATTATAAGAATATAATATTCATAATTGAATTACAGTGCCCTCGGTCAGTGATAGAACAGTTAAATAGCATACATTACGGCAATATCTAAGAATCAGATTTCGTCTCCTACTTTTATTTATAGACTTTTGAAACAGACAAATAGTGGTGGCTAAATTAACAAAAATGGTAGATATAAATAATCGTCCAGCTCTGTTACACTGGTAACGTTAAACATATTTGGCAGCGTCTCCCATTCCTAGGATTTGTGATAGTATCGTCTACTAACTCTATACCAAAAGTGAATATGATGTTGGGACGGGGGATTTTCTGATTCTCATGTGAGGTTTATCGAATTGAAATTTGTAGGTCAGTGATGGTGCTGAAGTGATCGAGATCAGTAAACGATTTTTCTTGGAACACGCGCAAAACAACACGATGCTGCGAGTAGAAACAATGGTACGTATATGTATAGTCATGGCCTCTACTGATGTGTCATTGTATCATTGTATACAAGTATATTTAATTGTGATTAACACTATTCGTACATGAAATGCGGATAACAATTCGACACGAATATACAAAATGTACATGGAGGAACTGGATATTTTTTGGTTAGACACGTACGCCTGCAGAATTATTTTCGTGATAATGACATTATAATCAACACAATTAATTAAGGCGACTTAGAATGTATAAGTTGTATTCATAAATGCATGTGATGAAAGAATACGACAGTGATGAACTGGATGAATGAGTTACTAATATTGGGTCTGGATTACGTCTGGTTTATTTGTTAATCTGTATATATAACCGATATAACCTATTGGTTTACAGCAACGAGAATACATGAACAATGACGAAGCGAAAGACATCCTCTACACGAAGGAGACGTGGGATCAGTATAAAAATGTGCTCATGCGAAGATTAGTGCGAAACGTAACGAAACCTCAGAGGAAGTCATGATGAACATGCTAAACTGACACTCTAACAAAGTGATGGTCAATGGAATTCATTACATTCGACATATAAAGTATCATTTTGCATTGTTCTGACGTTTTCAGCACTCGCTGCTAAGCAAAATAATCCTCTATAAAGAACAGTGGTATCGAAAAGCGTTAGGTCATATATTTATAAGAATTTTACAACTGTTTTTGTATTACAGAAGCGTAATCAATCAGAACGATTCTATGTTTAAGCAATGTCTTTATAATCACAAACATATGTTGTTGATATCTCCGTCGCATGTATGGGTATGTACAGGTAATACAACCCGACATCCATACATTGGTATTGGTTAGAGGACAGACGTAACATCCTTTTGTAAAACCTGCTTATGGGAAACAGACCAATGCTCTTAAAAATATAATAATCCAAATTATAGCTGTTCATTATGTCCATACTTAGAAGAATGTCCATTGGTCATGCATTTTTTAAGGCAGTTGATTACAGAACTACAGAATGTTAATACCTACTTAACTGAACTCCTTAAAACTTCGAATCATTTCTTTGTAAGATATTTGTGTACTACAATGATAAAATTAATTGCTTATACCGTCCGCAAAATGCACATTTTCACTCAGGCAAATTGGGGTAATTTCAATATTAATATATAGTAGTTTCTATTATGCAAGATGTGTATGATTTCTTCACACGGAGAAACATCTGACGTTACAAGATGGACCATTATCTATGCATATTGAGAGGTTTTTATTTGAGTAGTTCCGCATTTGTTAGGTCAGTAATCCACTGTTTGTTATATTATAATCGGCCTAATTGTTAAATATTTGCCGTACATTACTCAATCTGTTATACCATGTGATACCATACACTTTTCACTTAATTAACGTCAGTTATGTTGATGTATGTTATGTTGTTAATGCTTGAGCATGATTGTTTTGTTTCTTTATAAAACTTGAAAAGTTTTCTTTCCAAGCACCCTATACTCCGTCCATTGATTATATAAATTTATTGCCATTTTATGTGTTACACACTACACGAATACAGTGCTATTTTTACAATCAATGAGGCTTTGTTATCGTTTAAAGATAGTGTATAGCCTTGCAATAGTAATCGTGCCCCACCATTACTACATGAAGGGATTATACGTTGTCACTAAGATCGTCAGTCAGTCCTTCATTATGTCATTATGTCCGGGACACAGTGTATAATCTGTCCTCTACATGCACAATTGCCATTGTAGTTGAGTTCCGTATGGGCTGGCGAAGTGTCATGTACCACAATTTTGACAATTCAAGACTTTTGATGGTTTAATTTTGTTTCACGTCCTTTTAACAGCTAAGGTAATTTAAGGACGTAAGAGGCAATTAAACTGTGCATATACCATACAACTTGTTAAATAATGGAAGCAAATGAAATAAACACTTCTATTCATAATCTTATCATATTATCGTTATATGCATCGTGTGTCCTTAAATAACGAAGCTTTCGAGTAATAATTGCATTACATATATTCTCTAGAACTTGAAATTCGTCAGCTTAGTATTTTTAAATTGATCCATAATACTAAATACATATTGAAAGAATTCACAACTGATCTCTACGACAGACGTAATAAATTGTGTTTCACTATCATTAACTTACCTTTCACCAGTAGCAGTGTGTTAGTATGTTCGGAACAACAAATTGTGTTTCACTATCATTAGCTTACCTTTAACAAGTATCAGTGTATACGTATGTTCGGAACAACACATTGTGTTTCACTATCATTAACTTACCTTTCACCAGTAGCAGTGTGTTAGTATGTTCGGAACAACAAATTGTGTTTCACTATCATTAACTTACCTTTCACCAGTATCAGTGTATACGTATGTTCGGAACAACAAATTGTGTTTCACTATCATTAGCTTACCTTTCACCAGTAGCATTGTGTTAGTATGTTCGGACCAACACATTGTGTTTCACTATCATTAACTTACCTTTCACCAGTAGCAGTGTGTTAGTATGTTCGGAACAACACATTGTGTTTCACTATCATTAACTTACATTTCACCAGTAGCAGTGTGTTAATATGTTCGGACAACAAATTGTTGTTCACTATCATTAACTTACCTTTCACCAGTAGCAGTCTGAACATAGAAAACAGAGTTTATTCTTCATAGCTGATAAGTGCAAAGTGTGTTCCTAGTGTCAGAAATACTGGATATATGCGTTTTGTTGAAAAATTAGCGACTTGAAATGTTATAGTTGTGGTCATGAAGTATTCTACAGCCACAACGTCTCAAATTCTTTTTTTGATTAGATACTTCTTCATTAGGTCAAAGATCATTGGTGATCAACATGCGGGTATTACGGGTGATTAATAGAATATTACCTTTCCATAGTAGCAGTGTGTTAGTTTGTTCAACCTAAATTTCTTGTTCTGGATGTAAACTGATAAGAAATTCTTATTCTGTCAATGATTTTGAAAAACTTAGAAGAGATTTGAAGCAGAAAACTGTTTTCAATATTTACATTTAACGTTTTTATCGTTTGACATGATTTCGGAGAGTAACAAAGAAATATCCAAAAGGCCATCAGAATTATCCCAACCGATGGGTGATGTGTTTTGGTTGTCTAACCCGAGGTTCTGCTGAGGGTAAGACAACCAAAAATATTCCCCCGAGGGTTGGAGATTTCTCTGTTACACCCTTAAGGTAGGGGTCGACTATTTTTCTCCTATCCTATTATTTCAGTAACAACTCCACCGGCAGGAGTCTGCCATGTTTGTTAACAAAAACACATGTGGGTTATGAATATCGTCATTCACTTTTGATGACGTCACAATTACCGGTGACACATTTTAATGACGTCACAATTGAACACTAGCTAATCGGCACGAGGATATCACCCACTAGGGGGTGACAAGCTGGGCCCGTATTCATGAAACCGTTCTCATGCTCAAGCATGGTTTTTGTGCTGAACCCCATTTCTTGTTCTGACTGTAACTTGATAAGAAAAACTTATTCTGTCAATGATTTTGAAAAACTTTGAAGAGATTTTGTGCTCATCTGTTTTCAATGTTCACATTTTACGTTTTTATCGTCTGACATGATTTCGGTGAGTTACAAGAAAGTTGGTTTGGGCACAGAATCCAGGCTTGAACCCAAGAACGGTTTCATGAATACTGACCCTGATCTTTCCCGACTAAAACGCGATACACACATGTGAATGATGGGAGAAAAAGGAATCACTGACACTTTAAGAAATACACAATTGTCCCACCGGGTTTTTTTGTGGGGAATATTTGCGTCTAATTCATAGGAATAAAACAGAAAAATATATATGACGAGGTCAACATACATATATGAAGACATCTTAGAGGGTCTAGAAAAAATTAAGGAAAGATGCCGTGAACTTCACAGAACAAAATAATCCGGACTGACGAGGCGTTTACTGCGTGGTACCTGAGATAATATATCCTATCAAAATAATAAAGTGTGTCGGTCACAAATTTTTAAGAGTAATGAGCACATTATAATTTAACGTTGATTGAAGGGGCTTTAGTTTCGGAATATACATTAAAAATAACTAATTTGTACAACTCAGAGTTTAAGTGTACATAGTAAGGCCCGTAATTCCGGCAGTATTCATCAGTAAAAGTGTATCTTTAACATATATCTATAACCGATATTATCTATTGGTTTACAGCAACGAGAATACATGAACAATGAGGAAGCGAAATACATCCTCTACACGAAGGAGACGTGGGATCAGTATAAAAATGTGCTCATGCGAAGATTAGTGCGAAACGTAACGAAACCTCAGAGGAAGTCATGATGAACATGCTAAACTGACACTCTAACAAAGTGTATCATTTTGCATTGTTCTGACGTTTTATATATTGTTATCACAAAACGAACTTATCATGTTTAACCATGTTAAATATCAAGGGTTACTCCCCTTTCCACACCAAGCCACATTAAGCGGACTAAACTAGAAATGTTTCATTCAATGAGAGAGTTAAAGTTTTTAATTGTATTTCCGAGCGTTGGCTAACGTAAAGCTTTATTTATCAAACACAACGTTTCAGAACATGATTTGAATAGGGATGGAGCAAAGGAAGGTATTCAACAAACACTTTTTTGAATATAATGTTTGACAGTGAAAATTATACGCTAATCGATCATTCCCAAAGCAAATCACAAATACGGACAAGTTATCTCCCTAAACACAAATTGTGTTTCTTTCTTCGTTGTATTTGCTATGACACATAGTGCTGTTCGTATGGCCAGATCGAAGTGGAAAATAGAAAGCTTTATTCCACCCTTTATTAAACTCTTATTAAGCCTCCTGTATTTCACATTTATTTTCCATTGAAAAAATTGACATTTTAATTATTGCTTCGTTTATGACGCTGAAATATTGAACACCAAAATAGCATTATCGGGGCAAGTAGACATTAACTATGGAATGTAAACCCGTGTTTGATCACGGCTCTCATGTATATCTCTGTACTAACAACCCGGGATATAAAACATTGTTACACCTATCTCATGGTAAAGATATGTTATCATTACATGTGTGAATTAAGACATCGGACGGAATTTTAGGGGAAATAGATTTTGATTGATATGACGGTTGTTCTAGCTATTACTTTAAGTGCCATCAACTGTATCTGTCTGCCTTAAGTTTTAAGTCCGTGGATTTAGTGTTAGGCTTTTAGATCTCCTGTCTACGTCATCCTAATGCTTTAATAACGCGATCGTATATATTGAATGTATTTTACAAGTCAAAGTTACCTCAGATAAATATCTTATTTAAATTTAATTAAATAGAAGACATAAACTGATTGGATCCATGTATTTGAAATCAATGCAAACTTTGAAACTAATATCTACGTAAAAGAGACGACGGAAAGTTAAAGACCTCACAATGTCCGTATTCAACCTTTAGACGTAACAAGCACCAGAATGTCTAGTTTAAGAAAACAAATATTAATACAACACTATACATTAAACACCTTCTGTGATCGCTCACAAAACATTCAACAAAAGTCTGAATGCTCGTGGTGAAAGTGATAACATATAATATTGTCACAGTAGATTGAAGAAATAACAATTTACTTCAGAAGGTGTTTAAGTTTGCCACAAAGGTTCCCCGCATTGTATGCCGGACAATGGAACGTAATGGCACCTGTAGCCGTCGAGTTGTATCTGTGATTGGTGGATACACATAGAGCGTAGCCAGGGTATAGAAGCGATAATTGCATCTATCATTTACTATTATTTCAGAGTTTTCCTTCTAAACACAATTGTTTAATTTGAAATGATATCAAAAATGTATTGTATGTCAACAGAGCGCCTTACAGACCGCTGATAAATAAAACAAGGCTATCGTGTCTCACCGGGCAACCCTCGCCTGGCCACGTCCTTTAATGTGTCACCTTCCATTATATACGAGTTTATCAGGCCTGGCTCGCTAGCACTAGCGGGAGAAAGATATGAAGTACGCAGGCATTACGGGGAAATCGCATGTGCAAATCATAACAACTGATTAGAAACATTGACGACCTGAAGTTTAGGACCGAACGCTTACTGTTTAAAAAAAATCTACCTTCAGGTGGGGTAATGGCGTTTATGACGTTAACAAATATCTGTACAATTGTAAAACTTTCAACCGTTTTCATTTAACGACTTTTCATAATAACAGTGAATTCAGGGTTTTATACATTGTTTAAAAATGTTCGGAAAACAGGAGCCCTCCACAATTTCAGAGAAACCGTCAACAGTAATAGAGGAAAGAAAAGAAACCCCACGGGAAGAACATGTTGACAAAACCGTGGATAGGGAAAATACAGTACAAGTTAGTAATAGTTCTGACCATCAGGATGATGGTATTATCATTGTGAATTCGATACAAATTCCACATTTACTCGACCCTGAAAAACAAAAGGATGTACTTGATAAGGAAAATGAGGAAACTCCTGAATTTACTGTTCGCCTTGGCACGTCGCTCACTAGAAAGGATGCTGACGTCAGGGCACGTGCATTGCTGAAGAAGCTGGAGGTGAGATCTGTCTCGCCTTATCCGACATCTTCAGTGTCTAGTGTCAAAGAGTCAGTTCCTCGGTCAAGGCGGGCCAGTACCCAGAGGGACCGGGAAAGATCTTTAAGATACATGTCCAGAGCTCTAGGAAAAATGTTACGATCGAGAGGAAGACAGAGTCTGGGAAGTATCTCAGACTCAATAGGAGAAAAAATACCAACTGAACCCACAGAAAAGGTATAATATAGAATGTCAGCGAAACATAGTTGAACCAAAATATTTAGTTTCTTATCTAAGATGTGGAAAAAACCTTTCAAAGTCAAAACAATGAACACTTATTTGCCTAAAATATATGTGAAAACAAGATGCGCTTTAAGGAAAAAGGTTAAACCTCCAACGAGAGTAATCAGTAAAGGGATATGTTTAATTATGTCTCATTTTTCGTTTTTAACAGTTTACTTTTAAGCACAATTACAGTTAAGTATTGATTAATTACAAAACAAAAGAATTATCTTAACGATTATAATATACATGTATTGCTAAGGACAACGATTGATAACACAATGTGTTTCTTGTATATATATCAATAATGAAGAAACGATGTGATTGATTATGTCATTTTCTGTGGTGACACATATATTTATGAACATTGCATGTACTCCATAACTACTACTGTATGATAAGCCTTAATCAATGGTAAACCAGTAGGATAGGATCAAAGGTTCTCGTTTACTGAGTAACCACTGGGGGCTGTTGACACAATGTCGTCTTATCCACGTAATCCCTTCCCGTGAAAACAGTTTGATAAACATGGGAATTGTATTATTATGTAGCGAAATTAAGTGTTTATATTTCAATGGCTGCCTAATAAATACTTTCTAAACCACAATATCAACATCTAAATGATATACCTTATGACTACTGTTTCAATTAAAATGTTAACATTGGAGCGGTTTACTAAATCACTAAGCGTCAAATTCATGATGAAATCTTAATTAAGAATCTAATTACTACATCGTTACTAACCATGTCAACATAGCAATGATTTATATAATTTCTTCTTTTGAATTTAACATGCTATCATCTCAACTATATATATATATATACTACACACTTTTGGAATTTCTTCTTTGCCCCATATATATATACTACATGTATACTAGTTACTAGCCTTTAATTAACTCCTCAAATGTTTACCAAAGTACTACCTTTTCGGTTACCATTTTAACATCACGACGATATCCTTAATTACTACCCACCATTTACTATGTTTTGAACTAAAAGATTTCCTTACTTCCTACCTTCAATTACTGTGTTTACATCGCAGCCATTTACCTACTGAAAACGTGTTATTGATGATGTACCTCCTCAGTGATTTACCTTATTCCTACTATCACAATTACTTTGTTTATATTCCAACGATTGACCTACTTAAAACACGGTAATGGTGATGTACCATCTTAATTATTTATCTTACTGCTCAACTCTCCCAATTACATCATTAATATCTTAAAAGTTTACCCAATCACAATGCGTCAATGATTGTGTTCGATTTAAGTGACTAATCTTATTACTACCTTCACAATCAACATGTTTGCATCTCAGCAATTTTCCTAATTAGTACTGCACTTTGTTACTTAGCGTATGTACAGTTTCACGATTTACTGCACTTTGTTACTTAGCGTATGTACAGTTGAACGATTTACTGCACTTTGTTACTTAGCGTATGTACAGTTGAACGATTTACCTAACACTACGCATCAATTATCATGTTTTTCTCTCAATTATCTACATAATGACTAGCAATGTTAACATCTAGTTGTTTTACCTTTTAAGTAGGCTTCAACTTTCAGGCTTCAACTTGGGTTTACCCAATTTCTGTTGTCTGCATAACCATGCTTTCCTCTCATAATATGACCTAGTTTCTACCGTCTCAGACACTCTATTATAAGGAGGGATTGGCTCTATAATCATATACAAGTAATAACAAGAAGTAACGAAAGCTTAACGAACAATAGATCTATAACAGGAAAATTCTGCTTATTAAGATGATTCAATTGTGATGAAACGAAAACGCTATCAATAATATAGTATAACGCCAGTAAATCAATGTCATATTGATGCGCATAGCTTGACTTATTCAATGTTTAATGAACACTTATTGTTTTACTTTTTTTGTGATTTATTAGCCCTATTTAAAGTTCAGAAGGATTGCGCGAACGGTTAGACTTTTGGCTCGGATACTGCTGGCGCTAAAAAGGTAAATATCATAAGTATGAACTAGCTCACATATGTAGTTATGTACGTCGTTAAATGTGTGAAGTTTGATAGGGGTTCTAGCCTCATTGATAATTTATATTTTCTAAACTATTTATGTGAAGTTATTTGAGCCATGGGTATATTTTGTTGACCAACGTATACGTTGCAAGTGAGATAGTGTGTCTTTTGATGTCGTCTTTGTGTAGTATCCAATAATATATTCTAATTGTCTCTTTTTCATTGTAAATGTAGACATGATTTTCTAATTTTCTGAGAAAAAACTCTGAGATGTTCTATTTATTTATAAATGTATTTACATTTATTTTATTCTATTATGTTCTATTCTATTTGTACCATTTTGTATTACTATTTGTCCCATAGATATTCATGAAGGTATATATTTCTCCCACTACCACAACCAAGGTTCCTCAATTCTTAGTCATAGGATAAACATGGTAGGAGTTGGTAAACATATCTATTACCTACCAAAGGGTAACACTTCATTGATTAATCGTCTAATTACGATATGACTTCAATTCATAGTGCTTTGCAACTTCCCTGATCGGAAACAGGAATGACGTACTTCTTAGAATAACATTTGGTTTTCTAGATACAATATCGGAACGTTGAGGGAGAAAAAAGTTCCCAAACTCGAAATGGTTTATTATCATGTTTACCCTGATGTCGTTATTTCAAAATGTTAATTGTAAAAACACTCCGTAAACCTCGTGTTTTAATTTAACTAGAATTTTAACTTACTCGAATTACATAAACATAATAAGCAACCATCATTCGTTTGAGAACCTCTGTATATTCTTAATACATGGTTACTCGGAATGGAAATCGAACATCTGACGCTTTATAAAAGGCCAGTAACTGAGTAGTGAGAGAAGATTCAGTATACGCTGTGATATGGTAAGGAATATCTTTATATGTGGCAGCGTTCAATTGTTCATAGGATTAAGGTCGCCTTCTAGCTTCGAACTAGGGGCAATTCCCTTTAGCTCAGTGGTAGAGCTTCCGACTAGGAACCTGGAGATCGAGGGTTCGATCTCCGGGGGAAGCACACTATTCTCTTTCCTGTTACAAATGGTGTCCGTGGCCCTCCCTGTGGTGACAGGGAGTTAGAACCTGGGATGTGGTGTTTGAGGGCGAACACATTTAAAAAGGGGGGAGTAGTGTGGCAGGGTTCAATTGTACATAGGATTAAGGTCGACTTCTAGCTTCGAACTAGGGGTAATTCCTTTTAACTTAATGGTATAGCGTCCGACTAGGAACCTGGAGATCGAGGTTTCGATCCCCGGTGGAAGCACACTATTCTCTTTCCTTTTACATATGTATTATTTATATATCCATATGTATTCCGTATGCACATTCTTGCGATAATTTATTAAACACGAAGATCACGCGCAATTCCATACTGCAATATTTTCCAATTTATAATTATGTTTTACTATCGCCGTTGTTTTTGTTACATCATTTTCGTCCTTGTCGACAGTTGACTCTTTATTTTTTGTTCCCTTTCGCTTGTCATAAAATGAGATAAATTGTACTTTTAAAATAACTATGGTGATTATTCACATTCTATTTAGTTGTAACATTAGACACAGGAATTGTTTGTAGTCGAGATATAACATCAGAAATCTAACATAAAAACACATATGTTAACTTGATATAATTCAACATATTCATATTTTTAATCCCAATACTTATGTCTGGCAGTACGTTGTGATGGTATATGTTTAAAAATCAACATTTTAGTTCTATAGTATTTTTGAATAAAATTGCAAATATGAATTTTGATCAACTTTGCCAACATTAAAATAAACTTGCCGAATTCCATCGAGGAATGTGTTTCTTGTTATAGCTACGTACGAGAGCCTGATAGAAGTGAGTGGTCATTTATGGAAATGTACCTACATGTCCGTGATGACCTCCATAAAAAGGTGGCGTTCAACCCTCACAGCTACGTCAAAGTAGAACCGGTGAGCTGTTTATTTCGTCCTGTTATGGATTCAGTAGACTTGAAAATCTTTCACAACACAAAGGTGAACTAACAAATAAGCCAAAGTGAACTGAAAAGTGCAACAAATTTACGCTTTTCAGAGTTAACTCTTGATTTTTCTTATTCTTTTAAGTCAAGTTCTTATTCTTTTCCCGTGATTTCCGATATTCAAATACCAGTATATTTTGATTTTTACTTACCTATATATTGTATTAGATTTTCTCACTTTTCAATTTTCCACACAGAAAAGAGACAGGTTGAAACAATTGCTTTCCATTCCCAAAGGAACACGGACGCTGGAGGAGGTCAAAATGGTAGGCTTGCCAATATAGCCCAACCGATTGTATAACAATACGTGTGAAAAAAAAGAAGGCAGATGTTTTGCTATACGATTTGGTTATATATTTTTCACACTCTTTCTTTTGTTCAAATGTTCATCTCTTTGTGTTCGAACTTCATATATATACAGTGTACATTTGTATATGGAAGAGTATGCGGTACATATATATATATGTGTGTACCTTCTTTTGTCTATGGTCAGACCCTTAGCCTGATGAGAGATAACACGTCTTTCAAAGACTATCCGGCTCACACCCAGATACACCTAGCGATGTGCATGGAATACCAAACGTGAGTAGAGACATGTTACCGTATGAAGCGGCTGAAATTGTTTCATTTTACTGAAGGAATAGTATCAGCATAGTCGTGCCGTGTTATAACGCATAACCTAACATTATTTCATCCCAAATTCTTATCAAGATGTTCAATGACATTTTGAATAATAAATCTCTTGAACACCATATAGTATCCTGTTAATGTATCTAATATTTATAATTTAGTTGTCTTGCATTTTTATTTTTTAATCCGAAATCAGGCAAAACATGTGAACACACATAAGAAACAGATAAGTACTGTATCATTGTTACAAGGTCCATCACCTTAACGTGACAAAACATTTACCACCAAGTGAAATTATAAATAATCGAACTGCTTAGTCAAGTTATAGCGATTTAATGTAACAACGTAGGAACATAAATTAATATTACATATTTTGTCCAGATAAATCAAAAGATGAAAGCATGATGACATGCAATAAATCTGAAAAAAAAACAATACACTTAAACTAGTGTACTTATTTCCGTATCATTTATCCGCAGATACGAGGCACGTCGGGTGATACTGAGACAGGGTCACACCCCGTCAGCGTTCTACATCATGTTGTCAGGATCAGCAATCGTCAACACTCAACACCTTAATCCCAGCACTGGGAAGCGATTCTTCAGGACCGTTCATGAGATCGTATCAGGGGATATGTTCGGTGTAGGTTGCGTACCTATTGCTGGTACAGTATGCAATTGCATTAGTTTAACCCGCAATTAACAACGAAAGTTTGGGTTATTGACTACCAAATAAACATCTTTTGTTACTATGCAAATTTTTGGTTGCTTCTTCAAAATGACAGCTTTACCGAAAAGCTGGATAACGCAGGTTCTAAGAATTCATGCTGTCATGTTATGCATAATGTATAACTTTGTGGTCAATTTATATGTTTAGTATTCCACGATGTTGTAGATTACTTAACACTACGCGAGAAATCGATCAACTTTTCGCAACAATGCAGCGTAATACATAACCTGCTTCACATGACATCACTAAGGTACTATTCCCATTTTTTATTCCCTGTATAACTATATTGTAGGAGATTGCATTACTCGAAAGTGGCAGACGAACAGCCACTGTTATTTGCAAGACCCCGTGTGAACTTCTGGTTGTTCAAAAGGAGGTTTGTAATACATACAATTCCTAAACAAAACTTGTAGAATTTATTTTCCATCAATTTGAATTAACCTCAATTCAATGGCGTGGTAATCGTGTCGTCGTTGTGAAGGAAATGTAACGTAAATAGGACGTCATAATGATAACGTTGGGTGTGAATGGTATATAGAAATGTTTGGCTGTTCAAGTGATTAAAAACTAAAACTAAATCTATACATGGACAAAGTTTTAATATATCATTCTGTTGTCATATGCAATAAAAACATAAATTAAATCATTACCCCACACTCTTTCGAGATCGACATCACCATAACTCTGAACAGATGTCTGTTAATGTTTCTATTAAATATCTTTCTAAATCTTTCTAATGGACGAAGTTACTGAGTAGAAACCTTGTCACATTCTGTTTATTTGTAATTGTATTCCTCTTTCAGGATTTTGACACAATTATCAAAGTGCCGCTTATGCGAGAAAAAGTGGAGCATATTCATTTTTGCAGGTAAAATATTCGCTGACATATCCATTAACGGTTTGTGTCTGTTTTCATATAGTCATATACAAAACAAAAATAAAACCATTCTCTTCTTATTTTTGTTATCTCATAATACCTTGGGAAACCTCCTATTTTAATATAAGGTAATTATTATACGAGTTCACTGTTTTAGCTTTCATTTCATATTGCCTAGATATTAAGGATTTGGTTTTATTTTAATTATTGCTATGTATGTACATTTCAGTTTTAATTATATATATAGTCATTAACTTTATGAAGATGAGTTTGTCTGTCTGTTGCAGAGAATTGCCCCTTTTCCAGGATTTTCCGTGTGAGGTATTCGCAGACAATACAAGTGGATTCTTTTATCAGTATTTCAGGTACCATGTTTTATTAATTAATATCGTTGTTGCGTTTTGTTGAAGAAAGCGTGTGAGAAGAAGTTTGCTTTCATAACTATAGCTTTTATTACCTTTATTTCAGAAAAGGCGATGTTATAGTCAAAGACAGCAGAGATAGCAAGTTCATCATTGTCGTGGCAGAGGTAGGTTTAGTTGGTGAGCAAAACATACGTGGAATTTAATAGTCTGTAAACAGAGGTGTTGAAAATTTTATATTAATAGTACTATCAGATTGTTCTCAACTTTCCCTAAAAATCTTCATTTTCGTACTTGTTTATATACTTCTTTTATTGATTATTTAGTTAATATACATTTTTAACACACAACCAGCTCAGATCGACCACGATGTCTATAGCATTTGGCATTGTGTCATGTCCGGGGTTGACCATAGCTGTTGATAGGACGTTAAACCCTTTACAATCAACAAACTATATCCGGGAATTTTGTTTGCGCAGGTTCGACCCTACACGTGGGTGGCAACCCGTTTTACCCTCTGAAAGTCTTTAAACTAAGTATCCCTTTGTGAAAATTTATATTTACCCAGCCAATGATGATGTTGTATGACTGTATATAAAAAAGAGCGATAAAAGAGGTAAACTCGAGTGGTCGCTGTTATTTGTTATTGTAAGAAAGACTTAGGATACGTTTATATTTGAAAGGGGGCGTGTCAGATGATTAGTGACGTCAAAGAAACAGAGGCAGACCGCACGCATGGTCCGATGTTCGCTAAACATATGGAGCAAGCATTTCCCTTGTACACAGAAATGAGAAAAATTCGGGTCAAAGCCAGACGCCAAAGTGAGTCGTTTTATCCCTACTTTTACATATGGGCAGAAATCATGGTACTTGTACCTATGTTTTAACATTGATTTCTACGGGCTTAATATTGCAAAATGCTTTAACTTGGAGGATGGCCAAGATATATGATACATATAAATTTGCCCTTGTAAACGTATAAGAGTGAATGTGACGTGAAAATATTTTTCTGTGACGGGAACAAAATGATTTTTTTTTTTAATGACAGAAACTGACGACTCAAACGACACGGCCCTAGGTGTGCGCCTACTTACAGGGACACTGGATACATATAAACTGGCAGCGGCGACTAAGACAAACGTGGGTAGTGAACAATAATTAAAATGTTAAGTTTGTCCATAAAGGTGTGTGTTTAAAAAGAATTTGATATGCTTTAAATATAATCAGTGGCGAATGATGTCCTTGTGAAGCTTGGTCGGGTCTTCATTTAAAATTGAAAGTTATGAGGATTTAACTTGGATCGACGTGTAGATATATATTCGTATCAATACGGACCACTTCAGATAAAGATTAGTTTTGTTTTAAACTTAAATTCCTTTGATACATGTACCTATATGGACGAAATGACCATATGGTTTAATATTATTTTCTTTTTGTTTGCTTTTCAGTATCGACACATTAAATTTTAAATCGGTGTTTCCTTCTAAGTATTTCAAGTGATTATTTTACCTTAATCGAATCAATGGCGACAAATGTTAGGATAAATGATAAAGGCTAAATATTACTGATCTGAATCAAGTCTCAAACTGTTACTTAACGGTAGTACATCTTTCAGTTTCTTTCACTGATGGTACTCATTAAAATTCGAAATTTCTTTAAAACAAGAACTAATAACCTTAATTAATGATTTGTATTGTAAATGTTTAAATGTTTAACTTTAACCCAATGTGTTACAAGGGAGGCAATCGCTATGAATGCAGAGTATACTTGTAAAATAAGCAAAATTTCATAAAATAAAATCAAAAAAAAAATCGTGTTATAATATTGTTTTCATTAAATCAAAAGTATACTGTTCAGTATATTAAATGTGCGTATTCGCCATCCAATTCTAGCTCAGTCGGATGGGTAGAAGAAAGTCTCGACATCACCTACTCACGAGAAGTAATACTCTTGGATCAATCTACGATAACGTAGAGAAAGGACGGAAGAAAAGTGTGGTACGTATAAGGTTTTGAAATTGGCATTAAACGTTCGTTTTGTTAGTAAATGCAAACAGATTCCAAACAAAAGTGTATTGAACAAATGTATACAATTGCAACCTAGCTTCGTTAATTTAACCACCTAAATTAAATCCTGGTTGTCCCACTACCCAATCAGTGTTTTTTCGGGGACTTCCCAGTAAACCAGCCGTGTTACAAATCAACCACTAATAAACTGTGAATTAAAACGGTTTCCTTTTTTAACATTTCAGTCAATAGTTAATCACAAATGTATTGATACACTTGTAAGTCAATATATTTAGAAGAAGAACTTTGCATTCTCACTATACATTAAAAATATAAATAAACTTCTGCTTCCCAGGTTGAGGAAAATACGACACCACTGTGGACAGACAGAGTGAGAGGACACACCCATCCCAATGGCTTCCGACACTCAGCGGGTAACACATTTAGAGTCACAATTCAATAAGAGTTAACTGATACGTCCCTACCTGGTGTTGGAATGGCGTATTCTGACCTTGTCGCTCGTTCATTTATTTTAGTTGAGTTAAGAAAGGTTTACAAGTTTAAACGTTTTGGTACGGTTTTTGTGTGTGAGCGGTATCAGAATTAAGCATACGTCTCTCAAACTAGATATGCTATATTATATCTTAATACTGATAATTTACATTTTGTTTTGAACAGACGTCCACAGAAAAACGTCCCAAAGTGACATTCCCCGTACCCAAGCACGTTCAGCGACCAACACCAAGAGCAAGTTCAATGAAATACAGATGGTAAGCCATCATCATATTATATACACGTTTGTACCAAAACAGTGTAGGGGTGTGTAAAGCCTTAGTCATGATTAATATAAAAACTTGTTTTTTTCTATGAATCTGACAATTAAAACGAACTTCAAAAACCTCATTGTTCAGATTTTGTCAGAAAGCATTTTGCATTTTAATTGAAGGAAGAAATCTTATATAATAACTGTTTCTATAAGTATGGGTCCATATATTATTTGTGTCCGTGTTTTTATTGGTATGATCTTTTACAGATAGCTGATAGCAATATCCCACCACCATCACCACCACCTATAAATCATCCAACAGAACCTCGGATACTTCACGCTCAAATTTCTGAATTGAAACCTGGCTCCGTATTTGTAAGTGTTTATATTCACTGTAACACTCTAACATCATATTTATCAACACCAAATTCAGAAAAGTATCTAAATTACCCCTTTGGGAAATTATAATCCAACGAACCTTTTATCATAATAAAACAAAATTTCTAATCAATTTATGGACCATGGAGATTTTTTGTAACTCTCTTTAGGGTTTGGAGGCTCTCATTTCCCGCCCGTCTACGACCTTAAGCCTTGTCAGTGACGGAGCTGAGTGTATCTTCATTTCTAAGAGATTGTTTTTGAAGGAAGCGAACATAAAAGTTCTTCGTATTGTTACTGACCTGGTATGTATACTTGAACATCTATATAACTAAATAATACTGCTCTTCGTATCGAGTTGAACAGTCACAACAAGCGACGAACGGGTCTGTTTTCAAAACGTATTTCAATATAGTCAATAATTCCATTTCATTTTCAAAGGGCTATTTTTAATATGAACAAGGTCCATATCACCCTTATGAATGACAGATTACAAAGAAGTCTCGAATTATTCTAAAAGGCGGTAAACAATATTTGTTTTGTTATACAAGACATTAAATGTCATTGTTATGGCAGGTACACAACCATCCATGTCATGACTACATCAAAGAGCAAGTATATACATACCGGAAGTGGAGGAAATACAAGATGGACACGGTACTTGATGTAGTTGACAGACATCGAAGCATGGAGGTCGCAATCGTAGGAGGAACGCCCGACAAAAAGTTTCCCATTCCAAGCGAAGCTTATAACTAACATTACTAGTAAAAAGGATACATGATGTGTTCATTCTCACCTTCATCAAATGTTAACAATGTTCGGAATAACAGATGGAGAATCAAGTCAATTAGGCTAAGCTTTGTTTAGTATCTTGAAGTAGACGCGCGAGAGTGTATGATATTAACGAGTAGTCTGCGACGCTTTCCTCTATGCGTTTTATCCTTAGAACTAAGATGTGCTGGAGGTCTTCATGACTGTATTTATGTCACGGACGCGTTATAACTGCGGGATAATTTTAGACAATGCCTTTGTGTGAGGGATGACTAGCTGACCTTTTAGTTTTATTCCTTGTCGGTCCTTGTTCTACGTTACATTCATATTTTTTATTATTTGAAAAGGTCACTACGTAAAGTTAATCGAATGAATTGTCGATTCAATTGTCGCTTTGTTCATTGTAAACACCTAAGTGCATATCCACCTGCTGGTCATGTGTCTTATGAAGGTTACACATCATGCTTAAGCTATCATTTCTTGTTTGAAATGAACCTGTTTACCATATAAAAGTCAAACTTTTTGAGAGAAAGGATAGCGTTGATTATTAATAGAGGATCATTTGAAAATGGCCTTCAACGCGTAATTTCATTTGGTCATTACCAGAAACTATTCTTCGCGTCACACATGTTTGCTGGATGTGCGGTGCCCATACTTAAAGGCTAGAGGTGGAATACAATTGGACAATTTCCCAGTGTCTTACGAACGTTAATATAACATCAATAACCGATGTTAATACATCACTGGTATTTAAGGTACATTTTGTACCGAAATGAATCATTTTATTTTTTGCAGAAATCACTGCTTAGATCTTTGTTTAGAATGATGTTCCTGGCATACTCGTTAAACCCTGACTGAGATATAAGGCCATGTCTTCCGTTGAGTTCACATATAAGAATTTAATTTACAATAAAATATCTCAAGAACTAATATTGATTTGTTTTTCTTTGTTTCCTAACTTTAACTTCCTACTTTACATATTTGTTCCACGTGTTTATTGGCATATTGATGTTGTTGTTCCTGATCCTGTAACATTATATGACTCGAAGAATTGCGTGAATTGGTATGTGAAAAGCATACGAGTATTTATCAACACAATTTTATTTTGCAAATGAGTCTACATCTTCAGGTCATATATATGTAATTATTCAACTGTGATGGTTACGATTACAACAAGAATCATCCATACTCTGTGTTATTTTCAAATACCTAATTTTAAATGATTCCATCATAATACATTCTGATAACCATAACTATATGATATCAAACCATTTAACACACATATTTTTTACTTATTTTATTGTTCTAATGCATACACAATAAAGTGCAAGGTGGTGACGCCTTTCAATTTGGTTGTTTGGCATGTTCTTTTCCTATTGATGAGATAAAAAAAACGATTTTTTTTTAAATAACCCATCACGATAAGTATACAGTAAAATATATAGATATGATCGTGAAGGACATATAAAGAATCCTACACGCCTACAGCTTAAAATTAAAAAGTCTAATCAATTCTTAATTTTATGTGAAATGGAAATACTATATTGAATAGGCGAAACAGTACTATCCGCCAAGGTTAACATAATCTACAGTTGATTGCATGATTTGATTATTACCACATCAAACACAATTTGACATTAACTCAAAACACAAAACATTGCTTTTAAGTACTGCAAGTGAGAAGGGTTAAACCTATTTTGCCAACTAGTAATTTTTCTTGCTTGATTTGTTATGAAATAAAAAGTTTGGGACATAGCAAATGAAGTATTTAAATAAAATGATAAAATGATAAAGGGTCTATATCATTAATTGGTGGACATACCTCCACAACAGGACTTGCACTTCGGACATTCACAGGTAGATGGACACTTGCATTGTCCGGTAATGCACGTGAAGCCGGATTGGCATGCATCCGTACAGACAGAAGCTGAAGCCACGGCTAGTATTGACAAATGAAACAGAAATAATGAACGAGCTATTTAAATCAACTCAATATTTTACGGAAATAGTATCACAAGGATTTGTCATATTGGCAAATACAAATGTATATAATCCAGAAAACCCGCCATTGATCAAATTGTCTTAAGATGTGCATGTATCACAAGTTCGAGGGAATAGATTTAAATTGCATTTTTGTATTACATAAAACATCAGGAAAACAATTTCCATAGTATTACGTACCTGCCATTGTTAAATCACTTCCTGCAGAGATATCAGTGTACACCAACTAACGTTTCAAATTTATACTAACACATCAAACTGTCATTTCAGGACTGCGTTCAAAAGTTCAGCGTGACGTAGGAGGTACCGAAAACACGTTTACTTCGTGTATTGTCCGTGCTGAGAGAAAGTGTTGTAATGAGTTATATATTGACTGTGCCGTTAGGGAATGTGTAGTAACAGTAAATGTAATTAGTCTATGCTATTGTCCGTTCTGTTCCTGCAGGGTATAAACACTCCAATGCTAAAATTCAGAAATTTATCAAAACATTAGGACTTCATTGTATCACTACAAATATTTTTCATTATGAAATATTTACATTTGCATGGCATTGTCACTATATAGCCTCTTTGAAAGCTGTGCCGTTGATGGGACTTTAATTACCATGCCGCACGAGACATAATTACCATGCCGCACGAGACACAATTCTTAGCGTATTAATTACAACACTGACCGGAACTACAATATCCAATGTAAATAAACATGACGGCTGCTAAAATATCGCTGGGTATTGTGAGATTTGATAATGTCATTGTAATTTTATGTGCAAAATAAAAAATAAAATAAAAAACACTTTTATTACAACGAAAACAAGACCAAGGTCTGCAATATCGTACAAAATGCACATCGGTTGAAATCACCAATGCCGGCAATGGAAACAATTTTAACGCTCATGCAATTTATCAGAAATATCGTCTGTAATAAATGTCTGAAATACACATATTCTATAGACCTACTGACACATATGTTACAGACCTACTGATATGGGTCACAGCACACATAAACATTCGTCATTTCAGACATTTGTAACGAACCTGTGCTCCGTCGCAAGATCACTCACTTCAAACGCTATCAGTTTCACGCGTCTCGGATCCACGGTTCCTCAATTTCAGACGACATGTCAAATAACGATGCTGTTATAGAATCTACCGACTGTTGTCGGGTTCCCATACAATCAACAAATACATTCACGACTGGATTCTTCACAAAATGAGCAAAGGGAAAAGTTCGAATTAACTTCCAAAAATAACTCCCTCGTGGAGGTCAAGGTCCCATTCACGGTGTTCACTGTATTTATCCATGCGCGAAAGTTCCGGGGGAAAATCGAAACAATTTCAAATCTAACTTTCAGCTCAGTTTTCTATTGAAAAACTGGAATCACCCTATAGACATATCATACGCAATTGTATTGATACTAAATTGTGGAATAAATTTGAAGTGTTTGTTAAAATGTCGAAGTACTACTTTGTTTGCCAATCAGCACACGACAATACGCTGTTCAAACTATTGAACGAAATTGTGTGGACTGTCGATAAGGCGGGCATTTTTAATTTTAATTATAAATTATAAGTTAAAAAAAGAACATAAGTGGCAGAGAAAACGTAAATATAAGTATTGAACTGTTGTTGTATGGTATTTATGATCTATTTGAATGACACAGCTTTGCAAGCAAACAACATAATGCGCGCTAGTCATTCAAATAGATCATAAATACCATACAAAAACAGTTCAATACTTATAATCAAAAATTAGGTTGGATATAATTGAAAACTTCAAGGTATAGGAATATATATATCTCGTCCAATTTACAGAACCTATTTTATTTCTGCTGCCACCGAAATACATAGTTAATCAATACTTCACTGCTGTGTTGTTATTGAAATTTCCTCAATATCTTAGGAAACCCATCTAATTGATTTCATATACAGTCAATCTTTGACGTTTCGAATTTTGCGGGACCATCGGAAACAATTTCGAAACCTCGGTACTCTAACTCACGATTGTTGAACATCAAACGACTTTAGATCCTGTACATAAGACCGAATGTGATACGTTAGTGATTAAACACGGGATGAGAAAATTATCAATCTTTAAATAATCGGATTTACTGTAATAAGAATAACAAATAATATGTACCATGTTCATTGACATAGGTCTATATTAACATATCGGTATTTTCGTACAGGCTAGTTGTTTTCACTTTGATTTATACTGAACAAAAAACAGAAACGCACAAAGTTCGGCGTGATCAAGCCAAGCCGGAGTTTTTCAAACAAATAATCTCAACGGATACTCTTCAGCCACATTAATTTTGATTTCGCCATTGACTGAGATGCCACGCTTAACGCAAATTCAGAGGGGTAGAGCAATTGCGATGTTAATGGATGGTCATAGCCAAACTGCTGTCACACAAACTGCTGTCACACGGCAGTTTGGTGTTGGCCCGTGTACAATTAACCGTCTCTGTACACGTTTCCGTGCTACTGGGTTAGTTTCCGATCGTCCCAGGAGCGGTCGTCCGCGTGTAACGACCGCACGACAAGACATGGCGATTCGATTGTCGCACTTGCGCAACAGATTCAAGACAGCTGTGCCATCTCTGACACCACGGAGGCGGCAAGTGCGTCTTGACTGGATGCGCAGACATGGCCCGAATAGGTTTGGGATGCGTCGATGGAGGGGTGTGATATTCACCGACGAGTCTAGATTCTGTCTGTATCGCTCAGACGGAACAAAAAGGGTATATCGCAGACGCGGTGAGCGTTTCGCCGACGCATGGTTCGTTGAACGCGATAGATTCGGTGGGCCTTCTGTAATGGTTTGGGGCGGTATCTCCCATGGAGTAAAATCCCCTTTAGTGGTCCTGGATCAAAACCCTAATGCCGTTCGATACAGAGACCAGATCGAGTTCTCGAGTGAAACTTGATTATACATGTACTTTGAAACAATGTTTGAAGGTAGATATATGAAAGTTTGATTGTATTTGAACCTATTTTTCCCCACATATTACTATTCTCTACCTTAATTTGTTAAACGCGTCAGGGTTTAGAAGATAAGACAAATTAACCTGTATAATTAAAGTAACACTAAAACAATAAAATATTCAGTTAGTTACATCTTTGATTAACTCATCAAATTGTCGATTTTCTTCACGTGTTTACAGTTCATGACATAAAGTAACAGAAGGTATTTTACATTCACTCAATAAGTAACACCAGCACTAGGACAGTACATCATACCTTCAGTTCATGCCGGCACAACCGCATGCTGAGAACAGTATGTGTTTTCATCTGACAATTTTGACGATTTCTTCACTGTATGGTGTTTTTTCAGTGTTAGGTCAATAGGAATCAGATTTGGCACAAAAAGTTAATATGTGATTTATTTTGGTCGCTAATTTCTACAATAAAGTGTCCTTGTGCGATGATGTATATTTTTGATTTATTTTTCGAACTCTTTATGATAGTTGAATTAATGGTTCTGCTAATAAACAATATTAATCTACCGTCGGCCTTAGAATAGATTTTTATAATATATTGATGTAAATATAATCTAGCACATCACATATTCCAGTCAACAGAGATAACGTGCATAAAAAAGAAGCCAGTCGAATATGGATGCTTTGGAAGAAAGTATAGCTAGAAACAACAACAAATAAATACCAAAGCATCAGCAAGGCAGTAATTCTAACTACGATAAAACTAGGGGGAGATATGAACAAAGAAAAAGTTTAAATGAAAACTCTCGCAAAAATGCAAAGAAAATAGGGCCATGCGTTTCGGAGGGTAAGCGTCGTCTGCTTTATCAACGATATCCGCAATGAAAATCTAAGCAAAGTTCAAGTATTGCCACGTCTTTTGTTCACGTGAGAACAGGGGTAGTGGCAACGAAACAATGGCGTATGCTTTTAAGCTATCATTGTACTACATTTACCGTAGGTGATGTAGGATCCTGTAAAATCCAGGAGGTCACAGAGGATCTAAGGGAGCGGTAAAATGCATTGAAAATTTCAGTAATTTCAGGATCTGTGTAACCAGCAGTTGCAAATATTTATTAGTATCAATATACAACCATGAGTACTCCAATCAGTGACCGTTATTTGGACAGATTTTGAAACGTGACGGTGAAAATCCACGCAACCTTACAAGCATCACATGTTTACAGTTAGAACCCTGGTATTACGAGTCACGATCATGAACAGCAACACTGACTTAATGGCGAAAGATGTGTATATACCTCTGATAAGTATGCGTTTACATGAAATTGGTGATATAAAAATGACATACTGTAAACACCTGGTACGTGAAAATGCTGGTAACCTGTCACCAAAGGGTGAATAAATATTGTCATAGATTTTAAAAGGGTTACACTGGTTTGTATTCGGAAACAGAGAGCCCAATAATGGCGGATAATAATACGTATCCTGAGGAGTGTGGAATTCCCAGCATGGCTGTAAGTATTGTCTTGTGATAAATAACTCAAAGAATATTCAAACTTATTTTTAATGCATCAATGTGATATATAATAGAACAATTTATTGATATCACAATGTCATCCTACAAAGACAAACGGTACGAAAACACAACAGTAACTACGGACACACCAAATTATATGTGATGCCATCAGAAATGCCAAGAATAACTGAAGGAGAAACCAAATATCATACAAACATAACAGTCGATACGAAAGTGGTATCAAAATGGTATCAAGACATAATTTAAAGGTACTGTGCTGCTAACCTCTTTTTCTTATCAGCAGTAAATAACTGGTATTTCTTTATTTTTCCTACATAGCAAAAGCTATTAACGGAATACCAAACGCAGGGCCTTAAATGTGTCAATACAAACAGAAGAAGTTTACATTTTATTTGCTTACGTGCCGTAAAGAATTCGATGATTTTATATAATATCACGCAAGCCCCAATGGGACCTTTTAAAGTGATGAAATTTACGCTTCTTATACTATCGTGATCATTTGTGTTAATACTATTTCATAAGTGAAATATAAGGTCGTTTATCATAGCAGGTGACGTACTAGGTCGTCATCAACTTAGATAAAAGTACGTGTATGGTGTAAACATTACCTCTGAGCCTGTCGAACAATAAGTATTGTGTTGATACCACCTCTGACTCTGTCGAACAATAAGTATTGTGTAAACATTACCTCTGACCCTGTCGAACAATAAGTATTGTGTTAATACCACCTCTGACTCTATCGAACAAGAAGTATTGTGTAAATATAACATCTGACCCAGTCGTACAATAAGTATTGTGTAAACATCACCTCTGAGCCTGTCGAACAGTAAGTATCGTGTTAATACCACCTCTGACTCTGTCGAACAATAAGTATTGTGTAAACATTACCTCTGACTCTGTCGAACAAGGAGTATTGTGTGAATATTACATCTGACTCTGTCGAACAAGAAGTATTGTGTAAATATTACATCTGACTCTGTCGAACAAGAAGTATTGTGTAAATATTACCTCTGAGCCTGTCGAACAAGAAGTATTGTGTAAATATTACATCTGACTCTGTCGAACAAGAAGTATTGTGTAAATATTACCTCTGAGCCTGTCGAACAAGAAGTATTGTGTAAATATTACCTCTGACTCTGTCGAACAAGAAGTATTGTGTAAATATTACATCTGACCCAGTCGAACACATAGTTGTCATTCGATGGATTCTGTTCTCGTGGCATCTCGTGAATTGACTTATGTATACTAATCACGTTAATATGGCTTCATCCCTGCGGCTTGTGGTATAAGTTACAGTCAGGAAAAGGCTTCGCACGCTTATACTTTCCATAGATTTAAGTTGCAATTTGGAATATCTTCCTACCTATATTCTAAATAAAAATTCTGTGATTTTATGGTTCAATTTAACCGCAGTTTTTCCGCCGGATTGTGGCATGGTAATTTTAAACTATAATCACAAGTTCCAGCTTTCTTCCATTTCCTCCTAGATGTATTTCCACACAGAGCCGTGTCAATACATATTATTTCAAGCGTTCAAGACATCATCTAATAAAGGTAAAGTATCTGTTAACTTCAGTATACATTATACTGGGTATCTAGAGTACTGACCTCATTTACTATATGTCAGAGCAATACCCTAAAAATCCCATAATAGGCCAAGGCTTATTTTCAGTATATTTTCCACGGAAACTATAATATTCGTCATATTTTAGTTTCTCAATAATATATTATGTGATGTGATGTTTATCAGAAAACCCTGTTAAGGCTGACAGTGAAATGTGTTACTACCTGTAATCCAGGGCTTATTTTAAGGACGGCGTATTCTCAAATAAAGTGTATTACCACATTTGATTGTATATCAACGGTTGACTATTGGTTTTTGACACTTATGCAGCCACATAATGTGTATGTGGAAGTGAATTTGAAAATGTAACGAAGCTGTATTGAAGCAATTAATATTATATAGATTAAAGTTGTAATGAGGTCGATAGATAGTTGCATATCCCTTAGAAATAATTTCGTCCGACAAAATTATTTCTTCACAATTTCCTACACAGAGAGTTAAAAATGACAACAAAAACTCATTTTGGTTTGGAACATGTAGAAATTTTCTGTTTAAATTTATATATATATTTAATTTTTATAATTATCATGAAACAAAATGTCAAGGTAAAAAAAAGTACAGACCGAAATAACAGACCATACATTTTATTGTAAAAAGTAGTTCCAGTATATCTTTTATATCACGTCTGCAATGGTAAGGCTACGGAAATAGGATATTTAGGTATATATTGTTTCTTAATTTGAACTTTTTTCTTCTTGTTTCCTGAAAGAAACCCCTATTAACAAACATGGGTTTATACACATACAAATTTATCTCATAAGAGAATTTGAATAATGTCGAAACCAATACAATATCTTGTAATACATGCTCTATCATATTATACCATTAGGATTACTCGGAGGCTGTTTATGCGTGTTCGTCTTTGCATTTCTGTACGAGGGACTGAAGACTTTGAGGGATTGTTGCTTTTTTTGGCTGCCGGTTAGACATGTCAACCCCGTGGAACCAGGCACCAAGCAAAAAATCAAATGGACGTGGTTAGTATATGTCTGACATAAAGGACAGTCTACTGACGTAAAGAGTGGACAGTCTACTGACATAAAGGACAGTCTACTGACGCAAAGGACAGTCTACTGACGTAAAGGACAGTCTACTGACGTAAAGGACACTCTATTGACGTAAAGGACAGTCTAATGACGTAAAGAGTGGACAGTAAAATTGTTCATTTCAAATGTTATTTAACAATCATGATACGTGATTATCGGCTTGTTAGTACAGTCGTACAAGTGTGTTTGTTGATGGTTTATATCATTTAATATTGATTATTTCATATATCAGTTATATCATCATAGTGCAGTAAGTATACCGACCGTAGTTGTGTGTGGTTGTGTGTAGTTGTGTGTAGTTGTGTGTGGTTTTGTGTAGTTGTGTGTGGTTGTGTGTGGTTGTGTGTAGTTGTGTGTAGTTGTGTATAGTTGTGTGTAGTTGTGTGTGTAGTTGTGTGTAGTTGTGTGTAGTTGGTGGTAACGTAAATATATTATAGAAGTACAACAATGAAGTGAAGATTACAGCGAAAATACGTTTCAAAACTTACTGCATATTACTCTTCAAGTGCATTCTTGCATATAGCCGTCAAACCTCTGTTTTAAATATAAAAGGCTTTTAAAATGCATTTATCTATATAACTTCCATACTGACACAATACTGTAATAATTTTATTACCTTAGTATAATATCATTTCGGTCTACAGAACGATATGTTAAAAAGACACTATATATACATCATCATTTGCAGTAACATCTGGACATGTTTACGTTATAATTGTACTTTTACTTATAGCCGACGTTGTCGTTACAGGAGAGACATGTTTACGTATGGACACGTGCTGCAGGCCGTCCTCCACGTGGTACAGATGCTATGGAGCTACAGCATGATGCTGATCTTTATGACGTATAACGCGTGGCTATGTATGGCCCTGTTACTCGGAGCAATGCTTGGTTATTTTGTGTTTGCTCCGGCATCTACGTCAAAAGGTGACACCTTTGAGCACTGCCACTAAAACAAATGATGTTGTGCGAATGACCATACGTTCATCAAACTTCAAACAAACACGAAATGCATGATGTTCCGTATTTAATTTTACAGTCAACATATGATGCTCTGGTAAAGGGAGGTCACCAATAAATACCAAAGTACTTTACTTCTTTAACATTTGTATTTGAATTATGTGTATTTTCTCTAGCTAGTTATTATTATCAAATGCACAAAATTTTATTTTGTAAAGTTCATTGAAGCTTTCTTATAGCAAATGTAAAACAAAAACTCATTTGATGTCAGAAAAAAAAATCTTATGACGTCGTGTGTACGAATTGAAATATATGTTAATGAACATAGTTATGTAAATCCTTAGAAGAAAAAAAAAGTTCGGTTTGATGTTGTCTTTTGGGGGGGTTTAAACGCTCTAAAGTGGGTGCATTTAAAATACTCTGAAACGAGGACTTGTTTCACATCTTCTACATGGACAATGTCAAATAACATTACCAGGTCCCCCATAAACATATCAGTCTGAAGATAAAAGGAACCCGTCAAATCTCATGTTTTCTGTCATTTTACACATGAGATGAAAATTCCGTGAACTAAAAGTTGATATAACACATTGCATTCTAATGAAGAAATATGTTTTTTTCATGTGAATAATAATTGCAATAATAACATATAATATAATTTATTTGAAAATTTTAGTTTTTCAGCATTGATGTTATAACTTTAATACATGTTGTTTCAGAGGTAACCATCATGTACTTGATACACCTAAACATTAGTGAACAGGTAGGCATACCTACTCGAGGAATGTAACCGGCAAGTATGAATATCCCAAGCAGAGATCAAGAAAATATTATTAATGGCACACAACACTGGAATTGTATACAATACATTTTATTCATGTAAACAGTCGTTAAAAATGTTCATTTTACATCAGATCTAAACAACATGCACTTCGTAATAATTAACAATGATGTATATCAATCTGTGTCAGAAAAATCCTACAAATGGGACTCAATTGATGTAAGAATGAGTGAAGATTACTGTCTTTCGCGAACAATGGATTTCGAGACTTGACCTTTACGTACTTATTCATGAGAATGAGAATATAACACATAATCCACATCTATTAAAGGTCATGGGTCATCACATGGAGTAAGTTCACTGAGTACATATAAAACACTTATCACTCATAATATAATGAATTCGTTTATCATCACAGCGTAAACATAATATGGTAAATACTTCGTTCCATGAAGAACCTATTAATATCACAGTCAAATAGATACAAGCAATGATACTTTGTATTCAAATAACACATAACGCATGATGGAAGTACTTTCTTTCTCTTAAAAACATGTATCGCTTTCATTTTTCAATTCTTTCTTTACATTTTCCTCAGTGAAATAGCAAGTGTATATAAAGCCAGATGTAAGAAAAGTGACAAGAACATTACCACTGACATACCATTAAGATGATGAAATTCTCCATCAATTAAGTTGTGAACTATTGACTCCGGAATTATCCAACAAATATATCTTCCAATGAAATACAGGTTAGCAAGTAATCAATACTGTGACTCAATTACTGTAGTTGAGCGTGTAATTATTTCAGTTAAACAGTATTTACATTTTATAAAAAAAAAAATATCACAGCACCCGTATTTGTTCAAATGTTACTGTGTAAAATGCGGTTTTTATATCGTCAAAATAATACTCTTATACTTCTGCTCAAAAAATACACGTATATATCACAGTCACACACTTATAGATAGTATTAAGTATTCCTTAAATATATGTATCACAGTCACACAATTATAGATAGTATTAAGTATTCCTTAAATATATGTTTCACAGTCACACAATTATAGATACTATTAAGTATTCCTTAAATATATGTATCACAGTCACACACTTATAGATAGTATTAAGTATTCCTTAAATATATATATATCACAGTCACGCAATTATATATAGTATTAATTATTCAATAAATATGTATCACAGATAACGCAAAGCATATAAATGCACGCTTGTCTTCTCAATACATTCATAGTATATTATTTTATACTAGTGCGGACACAGGTAGCCAGCATCGTTTACCTTAAATCATCTTTGAATAACGTTGTTCATAGTGTGTTCAAAGACATTCTTTCTATGTAAGAATGATGTGGAAGGTCACTATATATAAACTAAACGCAAACACCTTTTAAACCTTGGTTAACGACGTGACGCTGTTTATATGGTACTCGGTCAGCATCTTGGTTTATGTTGAGGGTTTGTCAAGTACGCGTTAAGTGTGGCCCCATGTAGACCACAATATAGACCATAATATAGATCCTTATCATACATTGTATATACAATGGTTTATCCTATAGCACCAGTGTCAGATACATATCATAGTCACAGACACGCTCACGACTTGAAGTTCAGACTGAACATGCTCCCAAAACTAGCAATACTGCTCAACGAGGACCGTCTAGAGTTATTATTTTTAATAGAAGGACGTGTATGATAAAGTAGCTCTACTTTGCCCACCGGCTGTATCATGTTCAAACTGATTTTATTTATACGCCACTCTCTGCGCTTGGCATCTAACGGCGTCAGACCTCTCCGGGAGTGACAACTTGTACCAGAACTTTTCCTTTTCTCTTTCTTATTTCGGCAACGTCTCCTGCAACAATCTTTCAGTTTCTTTCGATTCTTGATGCATATTACCATGACAATGATAAGTACTACGAGTGCGACAAAACCAACTACGATGATTATAATGTACGTCATATAGTCAGGCAGGGCCGAGGTTGCAACTGAAAATAAATTAGGTATAAATATTAGTATACAACACTCTTTGAGTTTTGTATCTAACGTCTAGCTAACGAATCATGCAATAGTTATCAACCATAAAAAGAAATGGTAGTAATATGTGTAAATTTTATCATTAAAGCTACATTTAGGCACAAAACCAAGTATTGTATCTCCTATATTAAACTATGGGCGTTAGTTATATCTTAGTCCTCTCCTCACTTCTACTTAAACGTACAGTGTAGTGTTTTATCATTGCATTGACATCGAAAACAAATAACCAACAGATATTATTGAAAACGTATTTGTACTTGGACTTACCACAGGTTTCTGTAAAGAAACAAAAATATCAGCATTAATCATATGTGCATTTATGAATATCAACGATAACATGTATACGTTTATGTAGACATAAACAAATCACAGTGTTAATTTCTTTGACCGCAGAGTCCTCGTTATATTCAACATTGAATTTACCTGCAGTTTTTCATTAGATAACTTCTGATCAAACTTGAAAATGTTACCCCTACAACAACAGATGATTACCGAAGTAATTTGCAATAAACTGCCGCTCAGATTAGGCAGTAGAAAGTGATATGTTTCATATTATACATGGTTTAAGTAAATACAGTTTACACGCCACGTATAAGAAACATGTGTTTAACCGACCACGGTGATTATTAAATTATTTCTTTACCATCTCACCTGTTCTAGAGGAGTAGACATGGACGATCCCTGGACTGGTGACAGATGTGGAGGTCTGGGTGGAGTCTGTACAATAGTTAGGCACTTCTGTAGCATACGTCACTTCTCCAGTCTGGGAGATCACCTGTCAGTACGGAACAACATGGTATTCAAATATTCCAAAACTAGTACAAGCATATTGATCGGGACTTTGTACCTTATTGATTTTTGTACCAAACAAAATATTTATTATATAAGCAAAATTTGTGTCAAATAAGACTATGATATATAAAAAATACTTAACTTATTTTAAAATATCATCCAAATGAGTACACTTTTCGCACAAATGATGTCAGGACATTGTGACACATCAAATATATAACACACATTGTATAGCAGTGCTATGGTCCTAATCACACATCTAAGTTTAGATAGATTGAGTTTACTTACAAAACAGCTGAATCGGTATGTCGTGGAGCCGTCTACCGTGACGTCATTGTTCCACACGGACAGATACGTGAAGTTGTCACTGACGACAGAATGTAGACATGTCAAGGAGCCTCCGCCTGTAGTATTTGTACAATGGAGGAGCAATGTTAGATGAAATAAATGAAGATCATCTGCGGTATTTACTTTACGCAACATCTTCCAATCTGGGTAAATTACATTTGCTACTTTGTTCTTACTCATCAAAATATTCTTAAATTTCCGCACTTTTTCTTCCATACAATCACTGAATCAAACGTTCATAGTATTGAAACGTTCATCGTATTGAAACGATGTTAACTATAACACACTGCAACACTGTGTGTTTTGTTTGCACAGTGTTCCAATTTGCATATACATAATATTAATGTTCTTCCAAAGTGAATTGAGCTTTGGCATATGCGTATTTTGTTTGGCAGCGCATTACCATTGCGTATATGCTAACAGATGAAGATATTATTTAAAAATGTTGCTTTCTATGATGCATATAGCATATTATTCAGAGAAAAGAAAACAATAGTGAATGAGAAATCACATCGCCTGTTGCAACTAGAAAGTGCCGTCATACTTAGAAATATCGATCTAAATCTGTAGATAATAATATACTATGTAATATAGATGTACTCACTTGAGAATATAAGACCTGATGTACACGAGGCATACGTGTGGTTTAGAATTGTCGTGTCAGAGCATGCGTCAACTGTACTTCCGGTGCACGGTGTACTTTCTGCCGCATTTGATACAGTAACATTGTCGTACTTAGCCAGGAGTTGTTCTGGGCAAGTGGCCTGTGCGTGGCCAGATTCGACGGAACCTTTTTACAGATAATGGTAAACATTTAATAAGCATGCCAACGTTAAAATCTCATATTAACGATACAATCATCCTAAAATTATAGGCATAGCATTCAAAGGGTAAAGTTTTAATACGACCTGTAAAATAAATTAAATTTATAAGAAAATCTAGTCCATAAACAAAAACTGTAAAGTAATTAATGTACTTTCACCAGAGGGCTATTTTGTAGCTACTAATACTGTAATTTCTTCAGATTGTATAAATAATTACTCTGTCTTGAGAAAAGTGGGTAAACTTTTTCCTCACTCTCAGTTTTAAGCCAAATGCACTGTTCAGAACTTAGGTAGACATAGTTTTGTGTTGAGTGAAGCCTACCGTTTTTGATGAGTGTGATGAAGGCTCCATCATGATAAGGCTCTGGTTCGTTACAAGCATCAGCCATAGCCACAGTTACCCCGTCTACTCGGGCGTAGATGTTGTCATTGTTGGTGGAACTTATTTCTGTAACATACCACACAGTTTATAATGTATGATAAGCATTGCAATTTGTAATCACAAGTTGTTACTAATTTCTTTATTCGACATGCAGGGTAATTGAGTAAAAATTATTAAAAAAAAAATGACAAATTTCGTGAAAGTCGTAATAAGTTATTATATTTCCAAGAATGTTGGTCTTAAGAAAGTATATATCATAATGAACAGTAATGGCCTTGATGAATTTTTTAACAGTTCGCATGTGTTCATACATACTTGTGCCCATGTAGTAATAGTACTTGTACTGTGATACTCGGCGTAGATCTATACACAGGAAGCCTCGAAAGTTGTTTCCAAATATAAACGCTGTCTCCGTGGCTCTAGTAACGAAAACAGCAACATCACACATTAAGACAGTGTGGCACTTGGAACAAAGTAATAGTACACATTAAAGTTTGGCCGTAACATCACCACATGCAGGTAATACCTAGCAAATATTTCAGCCAAACAGTACCACCAAAAATGTTACAAACTTTATCATTACAGATGAATTATGATTGATTTGACCTCACTCACCTGAGTAAGTATTTAAAACCACTTTGTTCCTCACACGTAAAATCAAGGGAGGGAACTAGAGCTGACATGGCGATGGGGTAGCCGGCCATTGTGGTGGAGTTGAAGGTCAGTATCCCTTTGTGTGCGCTATACCACTCACCGTCTATCTCGGTCGGGAAAGTACACGCTCCATCTGAAAACAATCGTATCAAGTATTGTCAATGAAGTCTAGATAATAACACAGTGAATAGCATCAAGTGCTCAAACATATCGGAAGCAGAATAATATATAGTTATACATAAACAAAGAAAAATGCAATGTACAGGTATGTGTTCCAATTATGTTGTAACGCACTAAGACGTTACGATAAGATAACATATATACATGCACAACAGACATGTATTTACTTAAGCATTGAACTGTTTTTGTATGGTATGTTCATTCTTGCTTTCAGTAGTGTGTTTTCGCGTATTCCACTCGCGTCGTGCTGGAAAGTTTCCATCTTCGGCATATTGACACATATACGGTGTTAATTTGCATTTTTGAAGAATGTCAATTATATCGGCACGAATCCACCCTGTTTCTTCGACCTTTCCTCATGTTCTAAGAATTTCAAGAGTCTACGAATGAAGAAATCCTTTGTTACTACTGATTAGACACTGTAGAAATTTCACTATTAATTCTGTTAATGCCTAGAATCGTTTCACACATATCCGATCTCGAAGATTTCCTCACATTCAGAATCATTTTTGCCGTGTATTGCTGGAATACATCTGATTGTTGTTTGTCTTTCGCCGTTAGGTTATTCCACATTTCCGACCCATACAATGCGGTAGGAAGTATTGCTTTTTTATAAATGTTTACATATGTTAGCGGCTTTGTGTGTGCACAGTCTGATCCCATACGAGAAATAGCATGTAGCATATTTCTATCTTTTCTACAGGCTTTTTCTACAGCATTTGAACACTTTAGGTCAGATGATACATCAATTCCTAGATAAATTTCGGAGTCCACAGTTTTGATGATATCCCCATTCAATGTCCACGGGACATTAGTGACACACGTTTTGAACGAAATGATAGAGCATTTCAAAGAGTTAAATGTAAAATTCCATTTTTTAGCATATTCTCCTGCGATGTTCAGCAGACACTGAAGAGCTCTTGGACTAGTACTAATGAGTGCGATATCGTCAGCAACATATGGGTTAGCACAGTTAATTGATAAGATTATTGGGGTCACTCTTCTTGTTATGTCCACCGTTATTTATCGGAACTATAACTCCCATTTTCCACGTTTTTGATATTTCCCCAGATATTCGAATGTAGTTGAACAGTTCACTTAATTTATCTATTAGCAGTTTCCCGCCATATCTGATGTGTTCATTTGTAATATTGTCAATACCAGGTGATTTATTCAATTTCAACTGCCGTATACACACAATGATCTCGTCAAACGTAAATATTGACTCTAATTCATCGACGTATCTTTATGGTGGTTTGAAATCCGTCTTTCCTTTTAAATTATCCACGTAAAGTTTTACAAAGAAGTCTGCGAAAATGTCTACAATTCCAATAGGATCCCTACATACATTACCTCAATGAGTCAATGCTGTACATATGTCTGGAGATGGGTTCTTTCGTTTCCGTATTGTCCGCCAGAACTATCTTTATCTAATTCAGCAGTATTATCGAGCTCGTCTATATATGTTCTATGTGATTTTTGATGCATATTCCGGAATATGTTTGTAGTCTTTATATGTTTTATTTTGCTTCCCTCGCGGTCTATTTTCATTTATCCACAACTGTCTTTTATATAGAGCTACATTATGCGCATTTTCTATATCCGGTGTCCAGTACGGCTTTAGATACTGTTTGAGTTGACGTTTTGGAATTGCTTCATCTGACGAAAGCAACATACATAACGATAGTTGTTCAGATAACGCGTCTACTCCAAGTTGTGTAGACATATCAAAATCCTGAATTCTACTGAGTTTTTCCGTCAGAACTAATTGGTACGCGATCAAATGGTCTACACTTGCTATATCCCATGACGTATGATTTTTGTGGCTAGTTTCTTTTACCCCGAAGTATGGAATACTGAGGTCTAATGAACAGACTACTGGTAAGTGGTCGGATGCTATTTCAATATCGCCGTCGTCTAATATTCGGTTGTATGTAATGTTCGCAACTGTTGATTGGTCTGTGAATATATAACCTAACGTCGATTGGCATGATCTGAACGCGTAATCCTTGCCAGTTCTTGTAGGTTGACTGTTAAATAGAGTACGTCGGATTATCCATAATCCTTGCATTGAAATCACCCGCTGTGATAAGTTGTCCTCGTTGATCATAGAACGTTACTAGATCATGTAACGTCTGTAACGTTTCACAGTATGCTTTTATGTCGCTATCACTTTGCATGAACACACCAAATATGTATATGGGACTGTCCAGCGTTATACATGTACCTGTGACTTCAATAGCAACTATGCGTTCATTTGTTACATCGTCCAGTTTCCGAATGCTATATTGCAAAGACTTTTTAATTGAAAAGGCAACTCCTGTTCCACCGTTCGAGTTTTCGTAACAGTTTGCAAGTATTGCATAGTGATTTCCGTCGATAGTCTAAATATGTATGGGATTTGTGGCACAGTTTGTGTTCTGTAATCACCATAACGTCACAATCCGTTTCAAGTAGCAGTTTGACAACACATTTGCTCGAGGAGAAAATTCCTCTGACGCTCCATGTCATTACAGTTAGTACCAGTCTCGCTCCACTCCACTACTTGAAAAACCGACGCAACTCAAATATTCAATTTGCCGCTAGCTCGCCGTGAGGACGTTCCATGTCATCACAGTAAGTACGGAGTATCTGCGAGTAGTGAAGTCGGTTAAGGTGTTTTTTTGTTAACGCTAGTCAAAGTTGTCACGTGCATCGTTGTAGTTCCAAGAACGGTTATTTCCTCCGTTGTATCTGTTACAGTATTCGTCGTTGTCATCATCCCAGGAGTCTTTATTACGTATATTGTAATTGCGGTCACATGGCGCCGTTAACTACCCTAACATTAAACCGTCGCCTTTGGGATTTACTTCCAACATATCAGTGAGTAAATAGTGACTTCAATTATTGTTAACACCGAAATACATTTTCAGATTATTCAAATATATTGTAACACACACAGATGATTGACCCTTTTCATGATTTGGCTATAGGTATAGCATGTCGAAAATAACCTACACTGCATCATACAGCAGGTTCGTCCGTTTATGACTCATCGGTGATGCTAGGGACCAAAGAGATGGAAATATAAATAAGTCTAAAAAAAAATTGAAAAACTGAAAACACATTGTAAAGAAACAATGAAATAAAATCAATGACATAATGATAAATATATAAAAATGAATCCACCGTGCCGTAACAGCGACTGACACAGCCATCTGCCGTGACCAGGATTCGAACCTGGGTTGTCGCGGCCACAACGCGAAGTACTAACCACTATACGATCACGGCTGTATTGGCGGATATGAGGACGTCGTTTTAAAAAGTCCGTGTGCTTATCGACTACAAAATGTACTGTAGACATGCATATAAAACCTATAATTGTTTATATGTTCAATACTTATCCCAACCCTTCACTTACATATAATATACCAGGGAAATGCTATACATACATGAAACGTGTAGATTGGATTGAATATTTATTTATACTAAAAGGAAATGTTTTATTTGCTTACCTATAACTATTTTAAGCTGTAATTTAGTGTCCTCACTTATCAAATGACCTTCACAACTGTGTAACCTGATATTTAGTAATATGGAGAAGGCGATAACGGTACATCTTATGACATAACGATATAGATAATAGAAACAGAAGGGTATTTTTCGTTTTGCTTTTGTTTTTAGCGCGTTTATTTTACGCTAATATTATGATGCTGCTATATTGCTATAAATAATGTTAGCGCGACTTACGATATTGTATCAAAGTGGGAGTTTGGATGTCGCAACTAGATCCATTGTGTATTTTTACTCAATTATATCAGATTATCAAAAACAAGAAAAATCACAATAAAATTTCATTATGCAATGACAGATCAGAAATTAAATCCTGCAAATCAAGTCCTATAAGAAAATAAAACGGAGTAAACATTAAAACTTAGACTTGCCTACTAATGATAATAGTTGATGGGCCTCAAACTCCATCTTATATATCTACATCGTCTGAGTATACTAAACAAACAGTAGAGTAAGAGCAGCAGACACATCAAAACTAGTATATAAACCTGCATATTAGGACAGCTTTTAAGCATATGCAAGTATGATAATTGCTTTTTTCCCTTAAGTATCAATCTATAATGCAATAGGGTGTCACCTGTTTGTAACATCTGTAGGATGTCACCTGTTTGTAAAATCAAAAGGATGTCACCTGTTCATAAATAGGATGTCACGTGTTGGTAACTTCAAAAGAGTGGCACCTGCTTATATCATCAATAGGGTGTCACCTGTTTGTAAAATCAAAAGGATGTGACATGTTTGTAAAATCAAAAGGATGTGACATGTTTGTAAATGAATAGGGTGTCACCTCTTTGTAAAATAAATAGGGTATCACCTGTTTGTAAAATCAAAAGAATGTCACCTATTTGAAAAATCAAAAGGATGTCACCTGTTTGTAAAACGAATAGGATGTCACCTGTTTGCAAAATTAATAGGATGTCACCTGTTTGGAAATCAATAGGGTGTCACCTCTTTGTAAAATAAATAGGGTGTCACCTGTTTGTAACATCAAAAGAATGTCACCTATTTGTAAAATCAAAAGGATGTCACCTGTTTGTAACATAAATAGGATGTCAAGTGTTGGTAACATCAAAAGAGTGGCACCTGTTCTTACCATCAATAGGATGTCACCTGTTTGTAAAAAAAAAGGTGTGACCTGTTTGTAAAATCAATAGAATGTCACCTGTTTGTAAAAAAAAGGTGTGACCTGTTTGCAAAATCAATAGAGTGTCACCTCTTTGTAAAAAAGGGGTGTGACCTGTATGTAAAATCAATAGAATGTCACCTGTTTGTAAAAATAAAGGTGTGACCTGTATGTAAAATCAATAGGGTGTCACCTGTTTGTAAAATCAAAAGGGTGTGACCTGTATGTAAAATCAATAGACATATATACTATGTTATATCACACAATTTGAATGCTAA